CTACATAGTGCACTACGTAGGAGTTTAAATACTGGATCCTGCAGCCCAACAGAGCGAAATACAGCTAAGAAACAGTAATTTGGGATTCAGATACACCCACAGTCGACAAATGATGCCGGGTAGAGGATAGAATCTCTAAACTTTCATAACTAGAACACTATTTAGGGAGTACGGAGCCGTTTGGGATTCAGCCTGGGTTTGATGCGACTTCTGACTGAAACACGGACATTTGAAGCGTGTAAGACATTCAGGTGACATTTTTTAGACTTTTATTCTGCTGTTTCACAGTGAATCACACCATCAGTACTTTAATTCAAGCCTGTGATGTTAATGATGGAGCTGTTTAGGCTGTTGGCTCTTTTAGCCTAGCTTGCTGACCAGCCTGGTTCTAGTTAAGAACATAAGTTGTCAGTCCCTCAGTTTAAACAGAAACGGGTTCTTACTTCATCGATGTACTCGGTGCTCCATGTGAGCAGCATTACAGTCAGAGATTATTCCATGAACAGCAGAAGGGTTTTTTTGTGCTGTGGTGCAGCGATACAGAGTTCAGTCGTTGTGAGGGGGTCATAGGTGTGTGTATATCGAATGCGGCTCAGCCAATCAGATTTTAGGACCAGAACTATTCGTTTTGTAAATGCACGGATGTATGACATATACATTTTCAGATGATCTCATGTTGTTTTCATAGGAACAATCAACGTTTTCAAGTGCGATAACACATTGTTCTTGTGAGCACACTTTTTCACGTGATCACATTTTTGTCCCATGATCATGTTTTCCACGTGATCGTATACTTTTTGCAGATGTCACGTTTTTTTTTCACGTGATCACACATGCAAATGATGTTTTAAATAACAACAGGAACTTGAGTTACCCGGTTTAACACTTTTTGTGTCATATTGTTTTCTGATTTGACACGTTCTGTGTTAAAAGTAACACAAATTGTGTTTCTATAACTGGATATAGAAATATTTCTCCAATTGAACACACTGGTGTGTGTAGTTAGACACAGAATGTGTTGGTTTCTGGTCTCTTTTAAGAGTGTGCTTTTCATGTGATCACCCTTTTTTTCATGTGATCACGTCTCCCAAATATCATCTCACAATTTTCACATAATAACGGTTTTTCATCTGTGATCGCACGTTTTTCACAACATCTCACGTTTTTTTCACATGATCACAGTTTTTTTCCCACTTGTTTTCCACGTGATAGTTTTTTTTTCCTCACTTCTTTGATGTGAACACACGTTTTACAAACATCATCATGGTTTCCACAGCTGAAATAAGCATTTTTTCTTACATATGTGCGAGAAATGATAACTAAGGTGTCTAAAACCCACGTGATTATTCTCATATGAAATCAGTGTTTTTTCTGTGAGAGTTAAAGACCTACAACATACTGATTTCCTACCTTTACATTTGTTGTTATTGAGGTGTGTTAGTGATCATACCAATGTGTAATCACACACACACACACACACACACACACACACACACACACACACACACACACATATGTACAGGTGAAATAAAGCACACAGCAGTCCTGATCTCTCAAACTCAATGCAGAGGGCTTTAATGAGCAGATTAAAGGTACATAGAAAAGTAAGAAAGGGTGTGGTGTGTGTGTGAGTGTGTGTGTGTGTGTGTGTGTGAGTGTGTGTGTGTGTGTGTGTGTGTGTGTGTGGAGGTTTATAGACATGCCTTTAACCCTATAAAAATGTGCTTCTGAAAAATCAGTGGAGTTCCCTTTTAAGGAAATTATTTTAGCTACTAAAGTCCAGTCCAGCTCTGGAGGTCTGTGCTGGGTCGTCCTGAGCTGCTCCAAATGTGGATGATTGTCTTGCGCTATTCGATTAGCTGCATAAATCAAAATCACATCTTTTGTGCATAAAATTATGATTCTTTCTAATGTTAACCTGAACGCTGGTCGACACCTCAGATGGACTTTTTACCCGTTTAATTACTCGATTCTGATATGTTCATCCTTTATACACTATACAGAACCATGAACACTCAAAGAACCCACTGCATGATTAAAGGGTTCTTTCCATCATGAAACGGTTCTTCAGACTGATTGAAAATGTGTATGAATGTCCCATAGACGGTTCTATATAGAACCTTTTTGAAAAGGGTTCTATATAGCACCCAAAAGGGTTTTTCTATTGTCACAAGCTTGACATCGTAACAACGGAAGAACCCTTTTGGATGCTATACAGAACCATTTTCAAAAAGGTTCTATATAGAACCATGAACACTCAAAGAACCCTCTGCATGATTAAAGGGTTCTTTATGTCATGAAAGGGTTCTTCAGACTGATGGAAAATGTGCATGAATGTCCTATAGACGGATCTATGTAGAACCTTTTCAAAAAGGGTTCTATATAGCACCCAAAAGGGTTGTTCTCATGTGACAAGCTTGACATCGTAACAATAGAAGAACCCTTTTGAATGCTATACAGAACCATTTTCAAAAAGGTTCTATATATAGATCCATCTACAGCACATTCTCCATCAATCTGAAGAACGCCCTTCATGATGCAAAGAACCCTTAAGTTGTGAAAAGGGTTTTTTGAGTGTTCCTGGTTTTACATAGAACTATTTTCTTTATTAAAGAACCATTAAAGAACCATCTTTTTTAAGAGTGTATAGTCAACAAAGTTCTTTCCGAAAGTGAGTAACCAAAAAACAAAACTGTCTTGATGCAATTACGTATTTAATTTATGTGGAAATCATGTAAACATTTGATTTAAATATATTCAATTTGACTTTCTTTCGATCAAAAATACAAATTTTCTGAAATAATTTAAGATGGTTGTTAAAATTGATTCGTCTGTCAACATAAACACTGTAAAGTCCTGTAGCCCCTGTAAAGTCATGGAACGGTTCTCCTTCATGCATTTCTGTTTGCTTTCTTTTGTGCTTTTTTTCTTTTGAATCTACTCTACTTCATCATCACAACAACAAGACTCTTTCAGATACAGTCGCCATAACAACACATAGGCTACAGCACAGGCTACCAACCTGTGACTGTAGAGACAAGCCCCGCCCCTTTTCCAGAGCAACAATGCTACAACGTACAGCAAAATGACTTTGGTTAAAAACTCACAAAACATCACACAGTACCAGAGAACTTCTAGTGAGGAGAATTGCCACTCAGTAATGTGTTCTGGGTTCGTCAGACACTAGAGGGCGCTCCTGGGCAAGTCCAAAATGAATGAGTTTCTATGGAGCTTTGTGCAAAATCATGGTTTGTAAATGCTTCATAACTTTTTTTTATAGAAAAATGCACTTTATAACAGTGCCTTATATACGCTGGTGACATCACAAATCGCTTTACTCAGCCAATCAATCAGCACTCAGTAGCAGTAATGCTAACCAATCAGCACTCAGTAGCTACAATGCTGACCAATTAGCACTCAGTAGCTGTAATGCTGACCAACCAGCACTCAGTAGCAGTAATACTGACCAATCAACACTCAGTAGCTACATCGCTGACCAGTTAGCACTCAGCTAGCATCTTACGGTCTAGAACCTATTAGCTGTAGTAAAACAGGAGGATGCTGGTAAGTTTTCATTGATTTTTTAAAATGAAACACTTAAACTTTCCAAAATTAAAGAACATTCCCACATAAAAGACTAGGAACATGTATAACGTTTCATTTTTAGCCGTTTAGCTCCATTCATCCCCATCCATTGAAGATTCGCTCACGGGCGCCCTCTAGTGTTTTGCAGTCATAGTTTTGGTATAATGGGGGAAATAGGAAGTGGCCAGCTACCCCTTAAACTAGGGCTGCATCCACACCACCACACAAAACAGCATGTCAAAGCAGTGCATTCAACAGTGTGTGTAATGTGTAGCAATGTAATACGGTAGTAATCTGCAGCTCAAATGATGATCTTTGACCTCTCAACCCTGACCACAGCCTGGTAGTGATTTTCAACCCTGGAGCAGAATCAGGAGTGTGTGTGTGTCTGTGTGTGTGTGTTTGTGTGTGTGTGTGTGTGTGTGGCAGTGATTTTCAACATACATCATACACTTCACTTTACTACAGTACTCACACAGTGGGCGGTCACAGTGAATGAGTGGGAGGGGCTACAACTTCAAGGAGGAGTCAAGTACACTGGCTGTGTCCTAAACAGGGCCCTAATGCCCTACTGTCCCAAAAAAAGCTCATTCACTATATTATGCAGTTTTGTGGACCTTTTTAGGAACACTGGGCCTCATTCTCAAGTTTTTTATTCGTTCTTGAGAAACGTCCTAAGAAAAACTCTACGTCAGATTCACGGCATGTTATTAAACCACAGAACCGCAAATAAGAAAACACTGGTGAACGTCAGAATCTTCGTGAAAACTGCGTAAGTGGATTTTAAGGAGACATTTCTTCTTAGGAACGGTTGGTAAATGAGGCCCAATGTCCTATTCACTAAATAGTGCACTATATTGGGCTTTGTCCGAAAAAATGCCTTGTTCACTATAAAGTGCACTATTTTGGGCAATGATTGAAACTATGCCATATTCACTATATAGTGCACTTCTTTGGGCTGTGTCCAAAAATATGCCCTATTCACGTTGAAGTGTAGAGGCTATATTAGGAATATTGTCCTATACGTGCTATGTCCATAACTATGGCCCATTCAATATACAGTATGTCATATGTCTTAAATTATGTCCCATGCACTATGTAGTACACTATTCTGGGCTGTGTTCCAAATTAGGGCATATTTTGGGCTATGTCTGAAGCTATGCCCTTTTCACTATATAGAGCACTATATAGTTTAAAAGCCTATGTTTGAAATTGCCTTTTTCGCTGTATAGTGCACTATTTTGGGCTATGTCTCTAATTTCACCCTATTTACTATATAGTGCACTATTTTAGGAAAGCGTCCTGGTCACTGCAGTGATATAGTGCACTACTTTGGGCTGTGTCCAAAACTATGCCCTAAAATGAACAAGATTCACTATGTAGTGCACTATTTTGGACTCTGTAAACGTAGGGAATAGTGATTAGGGACTGTTTTGGACACAGCGACTGTCTGTGGACTCGGCTTCTGACTGGCTGGTTCGGGTGTAGTGGGCGGGGCTAATCGTGGTGGGTCTACTTGGCATTAGCCGAGCTGCTGATCATCTTCCTGACGGCCTGGACAATGGATTCCCGGTCGATGCCGTAGATCTTGAGCAGCTCAGACATTTTGCCACTGCGGGGCACGTGGGGGACAGCGAGGCGCTGCAGGACGAAGCCGGACTCGTTCACTACAGCAGAGCATACAGCTTCGCCAAGACCACCTGTAGAGTTACAGACACAGGAGGAGAGAAGGTTAGACTGAAATCATTTGTTAAGACAAAAAAGTCAGGATGATGCAGAAAAATTGTGATGCAGAATCAGTACATTTATTTAATATTCATAATTATTATAATTATGTGTATAATTATCGTTATTTTACAATATCTTATTCCCAGCATGATTTAAATAAATCAAATAAAGCATCTGAAAATTCCTTTTAGTGTATTTATTTTTTAACATTATTACTATCGAAATATGCATTATATAACCTATACAATATACACTAAATAATGTGTATTGTGTAGATTCACATATTATAAATAGAAAACAAAAGTTTTTTTTGATGGTTTACTTAATAACACAAGCACTTTGTAAACAACAAGAAGTTATCCAATGATAAATAATGTAAGTATTATAATGATCTATTTACAATCATTTTTATTCTGCCTAATGATTTGATCATCTTATGTGATCAGACCTATTTTTAATGTTCTATAACTTTTTATACATGTCTGTTATATGTATATCTTGGTTTTGTATGGTTTGTAATTTTTTAATGTATTTCTGCTATATTTTATATGTGTTTTGTTTAGAATCACTTAAATCACAAAAAATATATTATTATTATTATTATTATTATTATTAGTGATTGTAGTAGTAGTAGTAGTGGCAGTATGGTAGAAGTAGTAGTATAGTAGCTGTGGGAGTAGTGTAATAGTAGTAGTAGTGGAGTAGGAGTAGTGCATATAGTGTAGCAGTAGTAGTACAGGGAGATTCACTCGAAAGAGGCCCCGAATATTCTGTTGTAACTCCTGTTAGGATGAAGCAATCTGAACCAAAAAAACACGCTACATACTTAGACGTATGTGTAATTGATTGCATTACGTGTGATGCTGGAAGTGATCTCCGTTTTCTGCCAGACACATGAAGGGGTACGGGGGTCTGCACCCGGAAGTTGCAAACGGAGATTAACATCGCGACAGCTGTCCGGCACCTACCTCATCACTCCAACGCAGGGGCATCCCGGCTTGTTGGAAGCTCCATTTACTGAGGAGCACATTGCACATTGCTCGTTCAGATTGCTTTGTTCTTGCGAGAATTATTACAGAATATTCGGGGTCTCTTTTGGGTGAATCTCCCTGTACAAGCAGTGTAGTAGTAGTGTAGTGGTGCACGTAGTGTAGTAGCAGTAGCACAAATAGTGTAGTAGTAGTAGTAGTACAAGTAGTGTAGTAGTAGGGGTAATGTAGTAGTGGTAGTGCAAGTAGTGTAGTAGTAGCAGTAGTAAGTTAAGTCAGCTTTATTGTCAATACTACAATATGTACAGGACATACAGAGAATTGAATTTGCGTTACTCTCAGACCCCATGGTGTAGCAATAACATTAAACAGATGGTAAACAGGAAATGTGTGAATTTAAATAGACACTAACAACAAAGTGACATAAGGCACATACAGATTAAGGTCTGTATAAAGGGTATAAAAGGGTATAAAAAGTGCAATTAGAAACAGTAGTGCAATTAGAAAGAGCTGCATCACTCATCGCTACTGTAATAGTAGTACAAGTAGTGTAGTAGTAGTAGTGCAAGCAGTATAGTAGTAGTGTTGTAGTAGTGCAAGTAGTGGTAGTGTAGTAGTAGTGGTAATGTAGTAGTGGTAGTACAAGTAGTGTAGTAGTAGTAGTACAAGTAGTGTAGTAGTAGTAGTAGTAGTAGTACAAGTAGTGTAGTAGTAGTGGTAATGTAGTAGTGGTAGTACAAGTAGTGTAGTAGTAGTAGTACAAGTAGTGTAATAGTAGTAGTAGTAGTAGTACAAGTAGTGTAGTAGTAGTGGTAATGTAGTAGTGGTAGTACAAGTAGTGTAGTAGTAGCAGTACAAGTAGTGTAGTAGTAGTAGTAGTAGTAGTACAAGTAGTGTAGTAGTAGTGGTAATGTAGTAGTGGTAGTACAAGTAGTGTAGTAGTAGTAGTAGTAGTAGTAGTACAAGTAGTGTAGTAGTAGTGGTAATGTAGTAGTGGTAGTACAAGTAGTGTAGTAGTAGTAGTAATAGTACAAGTAGTGTAGTAGTAGTAGTAGTACAAGTAGTGTAGTAGTAGTAGTGGTAGTACAAGTAGTGTAGTAGTAGTAGTGCAAGCAGTATAGTAGTAGTGTTGTAGTAGTGCAAGTAGTGTAGTAGTAGAAGTAATGTCGTAGCAGTAGTGCAAATAGTGTAGTAGTAGTAGTAGTAGCAATAATGTAGTAGTAGTAGTAGTGTAGTAGTGCAAGTAGTGTAGTAGTAGTAGTGGTAGTAGTAGTGTAGTAGTAGTGCAAGAAGTGTAGTAGTAGTAGTGTAGTAGTGCAAGAAGTGTAGTAGTAGTAGTAGAGTAGTGTAGTAGTGGGGCAAGTAGTGTAGTAGCAGTAGTGATGTAGTAGTAGTAGTAGTAGTAGTAGTAGTCATCATAGTACACAGTGTACAAGTAGATCTGTGCTTCCTGAAGTGTAGGCTTGTCTTTGGCGCCCCCTATAATGCAGCCCTCATACTGCAGTAACTAGTACCCAGAGGCGCGTCAGAGGAGCTTTATTTAAATGCTTTAGCGTGTCTCTTTATCAGTGACCCCAGTGTGACCCCAGTGAGACCTGAGCTGCTCTCTCCATCTGTGGATTTGAGACTTTTCTGATTTAATTTATCTTCATGTGTTTGGACATCCGCTCACTGTATCTGTTCCTGCAGGCTCTCTCAATTCTCTCTCTCTCTCTCTCTCTCTCTCTCTCTCTCTCTCTCTCTGTGTGTGTGTGTGTGTGTGTATGTGTATGTAGGTCACTGTGAGCCCGGTGGGCAGTTGTTTGCTTAAGGAGAGATGACAGGCCTCCGCCACTAACCTCCACCCACCACCCCATCTCTGCTTTTCCTCTCTCTTTCTCTCCCTACATCTCTCTCTCTCTGTCACTCTCTCCATCTCTTTTTCTGTTGCTCATTCTGATTCAATTAGAGATGCATTATCGGCATCACTGCACTTAACCCAGAGAAGTGACAGTCACGGCCGAAGTGAGTGAAGAGCTTGCTGGAATTTTACATGAATCATTTCTGTTTTATAGCTCATTAAAATGATAAACTGTGTTTAAAGCGCAGATCATAAGCTTTCACTCCAGAGCATATTTGTGTTTGTAATAGCAGAGGCAGTATTTTATCATGATTTGAATTTGATGAAAAGTTATTGTGAGTAGTCTTTTTTGAGAAAAGAAAACCCTTCTTAACATTTGTTCCCACGTTTTCATCCCTGTTTGACAGAAAAACTCAAAAGTGCAGAATGAACATGGAAATGTAATTTATTATGTAATTAATTCCTATATTTACATCATTACATTCAAATATATAGCAAAATGACTGTAATAACTTTGGAGTTCTTTAGGTTCAGGTGATAAACACTGCAGATATTAAAATATTTCTATAAAAATATATATAAAATGTAGATTACACCTAGAAACAGGCCTTCAAATTTGATTATGTTCCCTCTCTCTGTCTATCTAGATCTAGTATTTGTAGATCTGTGCCGCTTTTGTGACTAGAGTCTCTGTCTCTGTCTCTGTCTCTCTCTCTCTCTCTCTCTCTCTCTCTCTCTTTCTCTCTGTCTTCTTTCTCCTCAGAGACACAGAAAGCCTTTTGGTTGAAAACACACCCAGTATAACAGCATCACGCTCCTCGCCCAATAACAAAACGCCAACGCATCACATGTTCTGATGTAAAACCAATCACAGCCTGCCACGATGTTGAGTTCCACAGCCGTGGACCAATCAAACCTGTCTACACGCATATATTCACACTCATATTGGACACAGTGCAGCCGGGCTGACGTTCGTGCTCGAGCCGAATGACGCGAGGCTAATCTCAAACCCACCTTCGTAATAGTGGTCCTCTACAGTGAGTATGCGACCCCTGGTGCTGCGAGCGTGGTCCATGATGGTTTTAGCATCCAGAGGTTTGATGGTGAAGGGATCGATCACCCGGATGTAGATCCTCTCTGCAAAACAAAACCAGAAACCATTACCACATAGCATTAGCATAGCATATAGCACAGCAGAACTGAGCAGGACGATCATATCTGACCATCCCTTATGCTAACACCATAAATTTATCACATATAATCACATTATTTTATACTATTACTGATGATTAATCATGTGGTATTTACTCACATTTGACTGTAAAGTTGTTTTTCCATTTAATTGCAATTGCATTTTGTTTTAGCTATAAGAGTGGACAAAATACGCTTCGTCAGAATGTATTTCTTCATGAGTTCACATGTCCAGTACAGCCTGCTGAGGGTTTTTGCTTTAAAATCGCAGATTCTGTTAAAGCACACAGCATTAGTGTAGTATAGCATAGCAGAACTGAGCAGGATGATCATATCTGACCATCCCTATATCTTATTTATGCCATCATAAATATTATATATTGAATATAATTGAATTACACAGCGCTCTGCAGCTGGGCTTCAGTCTGCACTACATCTTTCATTTCTACTCTTCAGGCCAAATAAAAGGGTGCTAAATGATCCAATACCATTTACCAGGAGACCCCAGCTATGCTAACATGACCTGCTCTGATAACCCCGAATCATGCCAAGCATTACCTTTATAGGACCAAGAATGAGGCAAAAGTCAGTGTCTCTGTGCAGGAGGCTAATCAGATAAAGTCCAGACACACGCAGACTGTCCAGATAACCTGGAAAGCCTTTATAAGAAATCATGCATACTGCAGTAACTAGCCAAAGTTTTCTTTCAAAGAGCCAGTGAAGCTTAATGAAGAGTGATTTCTCAAGACAGTATGTGCTGCTTACAATAGAAATAACTGGAGACAAAATGACCACAGGTGCCTCGGGACCTTCTAGGCTTTCAGAAAAGGATTAATGAGTTTCTGAATATTTCTGAATATTTTCGTTCATATTATTTCATGAAGTCATCACTACTGTTATATTTAGACTCTGAAAGTTGCAGGCAAACTCTTTTTTTCACTGTTAAGATTTACTGGATCTTGAAATGGCCAGCTGAAAATTGTCCAGTCAGCATTTTTTTCTCTCTGATATACATGGCCAAGTGAGCTCTCCTATTGGTTAGGACTTCAGGAGCTGAACTGAAGGCCACACTTCTAACTACCAACATTATTTACATAGATTAACTACCAATATAATCAGGAATTAACCTCTAATCCAATGGTTTCCTATGTGTGGGACCTGTTTCATGAGAAAATGATTGGCCTTGTTGAAGCTCCAGATACATCAATGAATATGTGCCGTAGTCTAAGCAGGTTCTGGTTAGTTGTTAGGAATGTAAAACAGTGGCGGCAGCTCTATGCTCTCTTTACTGACAGAGTCACTGTAAAAATGATACATACAAGCTCAAATATGTGTTAATGTCTGTTACGAGCTTCAAATGTCTGTGTTCATGTGTAAAATGTTTACATGCACTAGCGTTAGCTTAGGGCTAACATATCACTGGAAATCTCATAGGGGCACAAGCAGAAATTAGCATCATCATAGATTTGGGCTTGTTTTTCTCAAATTTTAGGTTTGGAAGTTTATAGTCCGCACTGAAGGCCTCGCTAATAGTCATACTTCACCACTGAAAATGACTGTAGTTATTCGCTGTAAGCAAAGTTCTTATTAATGATGGTCAATTTTGAGTGAAGGTGAAGCAGCAAAAATCAAATGGATGAAATATCAGATGAAATATTTAAGCACACTTTCTGAAAACAGCAGTAACAGACACCTTGAAGCCCATTTTATAGGTAACTGTGTCGGAAACCACACATTCAAGACTATGAGGACGACTTAACCATTTAACAGGTTTGAGGTGATTGTGTGCGGTTAGCAACAGGCTAATTGGTGGTGTATAGACTTCCTCTGCTTGATAGCTACATTAGCCTCATAGCTCCAGAGCAAAACAAGCAAACTTGACAAGGGTACATTTACTCACTTTATCATCTACAAGCTATAACTCTCTCTCCTCCATACCTTTCTTTAGCTGTTCAGCTGCAGCGAGAGCCTCATGCAGGGTCACTCCAGCTCCAACCACCGTCACCTGGTCATCCTTACTCTGACACACCACCTGAAAAAGTAATTACACATTTATTAATGCTTGCAGTTCATTTATTCTATTCCTATATATGTCAACATACTCTTCAAAGAAGTGCAAGTGTGTGGCCTAGCACTACTCCTGGCTTTCCAGAAGCAATGAAATGGACTTGGAATTGGGTTTATTTGCTGGAATTAATGCTGTACAGCTGTGAGAGGCACACTAAAGGCAGGTTTATCCTCCACATTTAAAGTATTTTTCATTGTATCAGGCACATTTAAAGTCATGCTCAGTACTCAATGTGCAGGTACCTTGGCCTGACCAACGTGGAAGTCCTCGTTGCTGTTGTAGATGATGTTGCTCTCAGGACGGCCGGTCCGGATGTAACACACTCCCTGCAGACAGACACACAGCAGCTGAAATTTAGACTGAACCACCATAATAGCTGAATGTAAATATCACTGAGTGCGGAAGAAAATCTTGTATCTCCATTTTTGTCGTTTTTCAGTTTTTGTCATAATTTGAAAGTGCCTGTGCCTCTTTATATTGTGTGTAAATTTTGTGATGAATGGACTAAAAGAAATGACCCAAAATGACTTGGAAAAAACTCCATTGACTTCCATTGAAAGTAAAGTATGTTTTTTCCTTCTCCTGCAAAGTTACCATTTTGGAGATACGAGGTTTTCTTCCGACAACAGCGATATAAGAGTTGTTCTCTTACACCATGAATTAAGCATGCAAACAGCATTTATCAGTCTTTGTAGGATCTGTGTGAGTGCTTTGGCCATACTGAAGGGACCAGGGACCTTTGAATGGTTCAAAACTGGGAGTACCTCGTTTAAATACTCTCTACATCCAACACATCTTCTTAAATGTTGTGATTTATACTCAAAGGGGAATTCAGCCCAAACTAGAGTTTATTGTGTTATTTGTCGTGTGTACTCAACATTGTATCCCACAGACGAACAATTTTATATAATTTTTGTCTGTTTTTGTGCAGCAACGTTCTCTCACTACAATACCCATCAAATATTATGCTAATACATCATACAACCTAAAGGAATGCCCCATGGCAATAAAGAAATTGCAATTAAAGATGTGATATTTGGCTTCTTAGTAGTAACATTAGCCATGTGGCTTCCTTCTGTATAGCCAGCTAGCGGGAAAAACATTTCAAACAGCCCCACAGAGCTTGTAGTTTGTTGTGTAAATCTCCTACCACCTTCGAGATACATCATCAGTGGGGGGGGAGGGGGGGTTAGTCTTTTACCCCTTAAAATCCCAGGCTTATTACATACTAAGGTATTATTCAGTAACAACAGGAACTCCAGTGCATACAGGCTGAGTTATTCTTAGATTATATAAATGTGTAATAAAACTTGGGCCCAGCGGTCTGGACTACTGCTGCACAACTGAGTTCACTGAACTTCAAGTAATGTTATCAGAATGTAAAACACAGTTTATTATTACATTAACTTACTATTAGAAGTTCAAGGAACTCAACATTTTAAGGCGATCAGGTTACTTACATTTTTAAGTAAAACACTGAATCATTTTTACAGTGTAAGCATGTTTACAACAGAGATGGTGAAATTCAAATTTTTGGCTGTAGTGCTCCTTTAAGATGCTTACATGGACAACAAAGATAATATAATAGTAATGTGCACTGCAGAGAGAAGAATAAGTGGAATTAACTAATGTTAATGTTAATGTTAATGTAATGTCATTTACTGAGCTAAACTAAATGCTGTAGATGTGAAAGGCAACAGAAACTGTTGTGTCAGTGTCTCTGTGCTTTGCTGTGTGTGCAGCAGTGCAGTACCTTGGTGTTAGCGGCCAGCTCCACAGCTTTCTCAGTGGACACACCATCACTGGGGTAGAAAATAGTAGCAGTGGGCAGAGCCCTGAAAATAGCCAAATCCTCCAGACCCATGTGGGCTGGTCCATCCTCGCCTGTTACACACATACACACACATAGACACACCCCACATACACACTCACTCTATAAACTCTGGACTTTAGAGCTGGTGCAGTAAACTAAACAGTTCCACTGCTGGAGCTGGATTAGTTTTACCAGGTTCTGTAATGTAAAATCTGACTGACTGTTTGGTTTGGGATGAAGTATCTGTTTAATTTCCCAGACCTAAACTGAGTACAAAGGACCGGTGACACACTGCAGATTCATACTGGATTAAAATCGCTCCACAATTATTACCGTCAGACTGTAAAACTACACACTGCAGATTCATACTGGATTAAAATCGCTCCACAATTATTACCGTCAGACTGTAAAACTACACACTGCAGATTCATACTGGATTAAAATCACTCCACAATTATTACCGTCAGACTGTAAAGCTACACACACTGCAGATTCATACTGGATTAAAATCGCTCCACAATTATTACCGTCAGACTGTAAAAACTACACACACTGCAGATTCATACTGGATCAAAATCACAGATCTTGTCACTAATTACTTAAGTTAAGGAATCCAGGTAAAACTAATCTGCTGTAACAGAGCATCAGAAAGGTGCAGACAGACAGATAGACAGACAAGGCAGGCAGGTGTACAGACAGACAGACAGACAGACAGAGTGACATGCAGTGTACCTGTACTAACGAAGGGACAGGTGGTCACCCGGAGACAGCCTCCGAGATGGCCCAGGGGGGTGAGAGAGGGAGGGGCTAAAATGAGCTCCACCTCCAGACGGGCAGGAAAACAAAACACATCAACGACTCAGGAAAAAAATCAGAACAAAACATTTTCTAGGCTAATCAACTGCAGACCAAGTACGGTGAAAAATCACTGCTGTGACAAAACCCCACAGCTCCAAATCAGAAACTTTACAGGAGAAGGAAAATATCCTTAACTTTTAGCGTTACTTCAAATATTTTTGGATCATTTCTATTGGTTCACTTCTCATGAAATGCTCACACAATGTAAAAGACAGGTTTGTTCAGAAGATGGACAGAATATGAAAACTGAAAGCGATGGTATTTCTGTTGGAATTGTGAGGTTTTGATATGACAGTAATAAACTAGATAGGCTACTGTAAATACAGTTGGGGGTGCTGGAATATACAGTAGGTGAAAAACACAACAGATTAGAAGAAATTTTGGGGCAGTGCACGTGACTGAAAAGGGGTGGGGATTAGTGTTTTAGGGTGGACTTAAACGGTAAAGGAGGCGGAGTCACTCACCGATTGACAGGCCGCAGTGTGAGCCGCACAGGTTGATGTTGCTCTCGGAGATGGCGGCCATGCGCAGCTGGTCGTATGCGCGGGTGAAGAAGGTGGCGAGTCCGCTGGCAAACACGATGTTCCGCTCACGGGCAGCACAGCCTGTGGCCACACTCACCTGAACAGGTAAGCAAGACGGGACAGTGAGCTAGAGCTTTGTCCAAACGGCAGGTTGAGGATTTAGAACTTAGATTTTTTTAGGCCTAAGTACACTGTAGTACTATTTTTGCTTGCTACGTCATCTTAAAATAAGTTCAAACTGTCTTACTGCTGTGTCCCAGGGTACAATTCAATTTACAGAACTTTGGAGAAAATCCCTTTCAATCAATCAAACTTAGGGTGGAGTTTAGAGACTCTAGATAAGGTGGAGAGTCCAGTTTCAAATGCTACACTACCATGCTGGACTATGTAGTTGTAGCTAATTGAAACTAGGCAGGGTCGAAACGACAGCAACAAATGCTAATGGTAGGTCAGTTAAACAACGTAAAACAGCATCCTGTCTATCCTAACAAGCATCACTGATACAAAGCGACTCTCTTATGAAGCACCAAAAGATACTCGAGTGCTAATACTGCTCCCTAATGTAGAATCTTCAGCCTGCTAAACATGTGTGAGTGAGTTACAAGCCAGGTCCATAAGGCACTTTGTACTAAAAATCATTTAAAATTAATAATATACTCTAAATTTACATAAATTGAGAAAAAAACTAAGTTGTGTGCAGCAGGTGCAATGAATAACTCTCTCTAAATGTAGGTATTGTGATATAAACTGAGTCTGTTCTACAGTTTCTCATTAGGTTGAATGAATAACCGACTCTAAATGTAGGTATTGTGATATAAACTGAGTCTGTTCTACAGTTTCTCATTAGGCTGAATGAATAACCGACTCTAAATGTAGGTATTGTGATATAAACTGAGTCTGTTCTACAGTTTCTCATTAGGTTGAATGAATAACCGACTCTAAATGTAGGTATTGTGATATAAACTGAGTCTGTTCTACAGTTTCTCATTAGGCTGAATGAATAACTGACTCTAAATGTAGGTACTGTGATATAAACTGAGTCTGTTCTACAGTTTCTCATTAGGTTGAATGAATAACCGACTCTAAATGTAGGTATTGTGATATAAACTGAGTCTGTTCTACAGTTTCTCATTAGGCTGAATGAATAACCGACTCTAAATGTAGGTATTGTGATATAAACTGAGTCTGTTCTACAGTTTCTCATTAGGTTGAATGAATAACCGACTCTAAATGTAGGTATTGTGATATAAACTGAGTCTGTTCTACAGTTTCTCATTAGGCTGAATGAATAACTGACTCTAAATGTAGGTATTGTGATATAAACTGAGTCTGTTCTACAGTTTCTCATTAGGCTGAATGAATAACTGACTCTAAATGTAGGTATTGTGATATAAACTGAGTCTGTTCTACAGTTTCTCATTAGGTTGAATGAATAACCGACTCTAAATGTAGGTATTGTGATATAAACTGAGTCCGTTCTACAGTTTCTCATTAGGCTGAATGAATAGCTGACTCTAAATGTAGGTATTGTGATATAAACTGAGTCTGCTCTACAGTTTCTCATTAGGCTGAATGAATAACTGACTCTAAATGTAGGTATTGTGATATAAACTGAGTCTGTTCTACAGTTTCTCATTAGGTTGAATGAATAACCGACTCTAAATGTAGGTATTGTGATATAAACTGAGTCTGTTCTACAGTTTCTCATTAGGCTGAATGAATAACCGACTCTAAATGTAGGTATTGTGATATAAACTGAGTCTGTTCTACAGTTTCTCATTAGGCTGAATGAATAACTGACTCTAAATGTGGGTATTGTGATATAAACTGAGTCAGTTCTACAGTTTCTCATTAGGCTGAATGAATAACTGACTCTAAATGTAGGTATTGTGATATAAACTGAGTCTGTTCTACAGTTTCTCATTAGGTCGAATGAATAACCGACTCTAAATGTAGGTATTGTGATATAAACTGAGTCCGTTCTACAGTTTCTCATTAGGCTGAATGAATAACTCTCTCTAAATGTAGGTATTGTGATATAAACTGAGTCTGTTCTACAGTTTCTCATTAGGCTGAATGAGTAACTCTCTCTAAATGTAGGTATTGTGATATAAACTGAGTCTGTTCTACAGTTTCTCATTAGGCTGAATGAATAACTCTCTCTAAATGTAGGTATTGTGATATAAACTGAGTCTGTTCTATAGTTTCTCATTAGGCTGAATGAATAGCTGACTCTAAATGTAGGTATTGTGATATAAACTGAGTCTGTTCTACAGTTTCTCATTAGGCTGAATGAATAACTCTCTCTAAATGTAGGTATTGTGATATAAACTGAGTCTGTTCTACAGTTTCTCATTAGGCTGAATGAATAACTGACTCTAAATGTAGGTATTGTGATATAAACTGAGTCCGTTCTACAGTTTCTCATTAGGCTGAATGAAGGGCAGAGTAAAGTTAGCTACCCAACATACAGCATTTCAGTTACCAGACTAATCTAACACACATTATACTGAAGCCCAAAGGAAGACTTTGATTAGCAAGCTCCAGACAGCAAGCATGTATTGCTGGGTTGATGAGTTCAGCACCTTGCTGACTGGATGCTACTGTTGGTCCACCCTCGGACCACCCAGAATATTGTCCTGCATATGAATTCTAACTAGTTTTTAAGCTCTGCAAACACATTTTAAATGCACACAGCCTTTTATTTTGGAAAATAAAATATTACAATCAACCAAGAGAAAAAATGAATGACTAGGCCTAAAATTGTTTCCTAAACTAATTTATAAGTAATAATGAAAGAAAGAAATTAAAGAAAAAAAAAGGAAATTGGACTCTGAGTGGAAAAAGTGGCATTATGTCTAATACTCTGCTTAATCACCAGTGGAGCCGCCCTGAAAACGCTGAACAAAAAGCCGGTGGGCCACCAGCTTTTCCTTCAGCGGGCCAACAGTGGCTCTCTGTCCTCTCGCATTCTGGGTTGCGGCTAAATCAGGGCTGGAGTGAACATTGGTGACGGAACAGGAGCGAAAACTTTGCTTAAAACATCTGTATGACAGATGTTCTCAGAGAAAACTGAACTGATCAGCGAGAAGAGGATCAAACAGGAATTCACTGAAATCCTCCATATGAGTGAGATCCCTCACATTTGTGCCCATTTCCTGCTTCCTGTGAGAAAATCCTCTTCATACAGCTCACAGTTCAACCAGGAATCCAGCAGCTTCTCCACACATGTGGAACACAGCTGCTCCCCCAGCCGACTCAGCTCCTCTCTCACAACCCGTAACGGATTCTTAGTGCTGCTTGAAGAGGCGCTGCTGGTCAAATGACATTTTATTGCTTGTTCATAAGTTCCTTGAACAAACTTCTGCACATTTTAATGCACCATAACTGTTTATTTTCTGAATATAACACATTTAAAAAATGCAGAAACAGGGCAGCGAAGAATAATTGATCACATTTGATGAATGAATTAATAAAATTAATACGTTTGACATTACATTTTTTAACAAATGGAAAAGCAATTCGAGTAACCAATTTTGGGAACTGGAATACCTGTTTAAAGTGTGCAGATGTAACACTGGAAGCTGGAATAATGAGAGCTGGAATTCTTGGCTCAGGTATGAAGATGGAACATTGGAAGCTGCAACCTCTGGTTCAGATATGCATAAGAAATATTGAGAGCTGGAATAATAGAAGCTGTAATACTTTGTGTGCAGATGGAATTTTGGGAACTGGAATTTCTGACTCAGGTGTACACATGGAACAGTGAAAACTGGAACTCCTGGCTCAGGTGTGCTGGAACTCATATGGCTGGGAGACCAGGTTATCAAAACTTGGAAAAGCAATTCCAATAACCAATACTTTTACAAAAGTACGCATCTTTTTTATGAGTCCACCCGGCAAAGTTTCTGCACTGGAATATTATATAATAATCTTAGCACTAATACACTGAGTTTAGCTCATGCTTGGGTATAAACCGGTTTCTGAGTGGCTAAAAAAATATGGTCACATAGGATTTCGGTCCCCTCGGTCACTGACAAGAGCTGACCTGTTTTGAGTAATTATTCTCTTTCTAACATTCAACACGGTTCAACGCACTGATGAAGCCATTCCTGCAATAAAGCCCGCCGTGGGACAGAAATCATGCGGAGGGGTTTTCTGCATGGCGGACTGCAGGAGGAGCACACGGTGCAGAATCATGTGCTGCAAACTGGAGCGTAAGTGGGTCACTGCTTTACTGCGTCTGCATTATTCATGCACTACCATGCATAATTCAACCAACCAGCTTTCGCCATCATACAGGAGGCTGTTCCACTAGACCAATCAGAGCCTTCCAGAGAACATGCGAGTGCAGAAGCTCGGTCTAGCTGAGGCTGACTCTGGAATGTATAGACTCCTCTGAGTCAGCAAACGCACAGTCATAAAGCCTCCAGGGTGTTTATATATATATATAACCCGCCTGTGAGATGCAGCTACAGCATGAGTGAGCATTACACAGCAGGGTTAGAGTGAACCAGTGGAGGATCAAATCAGGAGAGAAATTCAGTCCACAAGCTGAGTTAAGGCCATTATCTGCTGAAAGACGCATGCTAGACTGGTAATCATGACTTCAGTTACTGAATTCATTGACTCAATTGAAACTGAAAGAACTGCAATGGAAATGATCGCAGCTCTGGCATAATTATTGTTATTTAACCATCAGATTCTGCATTTATTGCTGTCATTATCAAAAGTTAACACAAGTTAGATATTAATAATGTCTCGCTCACACTGCATTAAAAAAGTGGAGAAATCATTTTATTACAATTTAAATTTAATGAAAAGTTACAGACTTGAACCTCATGATTCATTGTAAATTATTAACATAATTAATGATTAGATTTGAATAACAGAGCAAAAAGAAATGAATAACTCTGGAATTAAGGGTTTACGTTACTGAGTTTATGTAAGACCCCTCTGAGCAGCCTGGGACCAACAAAAGGTCATAAAATAACTTCTCAACTCCCAAACAAGAGAATACCTGACCGATGTGCAGACGGAATATTGGAAACTGGAATACCTGGCTTGGATGTGCAGATGGGATATTGGAAACTGGAATACTTGGCTCAGGTGTGAAGATGGAATATTGGAAACTGTAATCCCTGGTGCAAGTGTATAGATACAACATTGGAAACTGGAATACTTGGCTCAGGTGTGAAGATGGAATATTGGAAACTGTAATCCCTGGTGCAAGTGTATAGATACAACATTGGAAACTGGAATACCTGGCTCAGGTGTGCAGATGGAACGTTAGAAAGTGGAATACCTGGCTTGGGTGTGAAGATGGAATATTGGAAACAGTAATACTTGGCTCACGTGTGAAGATGAAATATTGGAAACTGGCATATCTTGCACAGGTGTGCATGATGAATATTGAAGCTGGAATAACGGGAGCTGGAATACTTGGCGTGCAGTTCGAATTTTGGGAGCTGGAATAATGAGAGCTGGAATACCTGGTTCAGGTGTGCATATGGAACACTGGGAGCTGGAATAATAGGAGCCATAATTCTTCATGTGCAGATGGAATTTTGGGAGCTGGAATAATTTGAGCTTGTATATCTGGCTCAAGTGTGCAGATGAAATATGAGTAGTGGGTTCAGTGGAAGTAGCTGGAGCAGTGGAAATTGCAGCCCCTGATTCAGATGTGCATAAGAAATATCGAGAGCTGGAATGATAGAAGCTGTATTATTTGGTGTGCAGATGGAATTTTGGGAGTTGGATTACCTGGCTCAGGTGTGTTGGAACTCATATGGCTGGGAGGCCAGGTTATCTCAGTGTTTTTTGAAGAGATCTGCATGTTAAAGGATTCTCACCATGTTCTGCTCTGCGCTGTAGCACTCCACGAAGCGGTTTGGATGTTCATTCTTGAAGATCTCTGAGAAGGTGAAGTTTTTAGTGTCCACATCCATGGCCACCACGCGCTCGTTATAGCGGCCCAGCTTGGCCAGAGCCATCCCGTACGCCTTACGAGTCGCAACCTGAAGAAAGACGACACAGCACAGAGTATGTTTCGGTTAGGACATCATGTACAGTGTGACGCCCTCCGAAATGAAGCTTTGGTTTTTGGATTTTTATTTATTTTTTGCAATTTTATTATGTTTCAAATATGATGTGTTTATATTTCAAGTTGCTCTAACATGCATAATGTACTATATTCAATATCAGTCCATTAAAACACACCTGTATTTGCTCAATATTGACATTTCAGATCAGATCCATTCATCCATCTATCCATCTCTCCCTCTCTCTCTCTCACCTTCTCTCCGAGTTTGTAGCTGGGTGCGCTGGGCATGCGGGCGTTGCGCAGGCTGACGGGTGGGGCATCCTCAGTGGGGGTGGCCGGGTACAGGCGCTTGTTGCTGTTGAGGATGCGGCTCTGCAGGTCTCTGATCACGCTCTCCGCCATGTCCTTTGGCAGAACCTTCGCATGCCACCCCATCTTATCCTCCGCCACTGGAACAGACATGAGGAAGGATGGATTTGAAACCACTTACAGCTCCAGCCCTGCTTCTGGATTAGATCAAACCTGGATTGATTAAGATTAGATCTCCAGGATTAGAGTTATAGACTGCTTTCTTAGCAACAATGCAAAACTGTCAACTTATACTGACTGATTTTGGGCTGGTTTTTAGGACATGGATTTATCTTAGTCTTAGACTAAATTGCAACATCAAAGGTGTTTGGCCTTTGAAAAGCCCTTTTAGTCTAGATTTAGGCTTAATCTGAGTGTGTAATCTGGTATTTAGTGTTAATTAAAGCAGTAATTGTTAGACTCTGCATGAGTAAAATCACTATAACACACAGTGGATTATTGCTTTTGTAGAATGACACCAAAATACAATATGACAGAATACACAATTATGAAATACAATTTATTATTAATTATGGTTACAATTCTTCCACAAGCACTGTGGTATAATAATAATAATATTACACTACCATTGCCAAGCAACAAGTTTTTACTACCCGACCTAGGGGTGAGCCATGTGACAGTATTTGATCATTATCATGATAAATCATGTCACAATATCCTTCTCTGAGTATACTGTGATTATTGTCAGGAACTCAATTTTTCAAAACTGCTGTATGATTAAGTGGTTAAGATGTAAACAGAGCCATTCAGAGTGGTTTGGTGTGAAACGCTCTGTTTTAGAGAAACTTACAGAGTCAGAACTGTTCACAGTGGTGGTGATAGGAACCAGACGTCCACCTCTAAAAGCTCCCTCACAGAAAGTTCCTACATGAAATGGTTATGAATTCACTGGCTGATGACTGAAACATTGATTTTACTGTTTTGTGATAACGTTTTGGACTAAAATGTAATTTAATCTGTTTATTTAAGCCTATTTATGGTGGAAGGATACAAGAAGGGTGTTCTAGGGCAAAATAGTCCAAAAAGGAAGCTTATTTTTCATTTTTCCTGCTATTTTCCCATCATCGACATTCCATACAAAAACTCAGAACACAGATGTGGGTTCACTGGTGGTTGTGGATAGTAAATAAAATGATTATATTTATGTTGCGACCCCTGGTTCCTATCACCACCACTGTAAAGAAACCTGAGTCTGTTAGTTTCTATACAAATTAACTGTTTCACATCGAACCACTCTGAGTGACTTCGTTTACATCTGAACCACTGAATTATGAACTATGAATTTTTAAAAATGAGTAGGATTCCCTTTTAAAGAAAACTGACCAACTACAGGTTTTATTAAACAATTAGCATAATTAGGCCTGTTTAATTGGATTCAGTGCAGTGCAGCCTGTAGGTGTATTATCATTATTAAAATATTTTCTAAATCTCTATATCGTGATGTATATCGTGTATCATGAAAATATCTTTAAGTATCATGATATAATATTTTTCCCTTACTATATTAATACAAAGTTCCAAACGACGGCCATCATATGTGTTTATATGTAACGACTCTGAATATGGATTTTAGAAGCAGCCCCATCTGTTTTATAGCAGTGGCCCTAACATGGGGAGATTGCAAGCTCGATTCCTGGCGATGCCACAGCCATCCGTGGCCAAGAGTCCACAATACATTTATCCTCACTCGCTCTGGGGGGGTAGATTGACCCCCCTCTCCTACCTCACGTAATTCTAGCCAAGGCGGGCATCTGTTAGCTGACATAACAGAATTAGCAGTGTGTGTTAGCAGCAGATTGAAAAGGTGTCGTGTATCACAGAGGAAACATGTGCCAGCTTGGCAAGCCAAGCTAAAGGGTGGAATCCAACATTGGGGTGAAAAATGGGTTAAATAAACCTGTTTCAGTACCGGGGATGCCTTTGCCCTTGATGGTCTTGGCGATTATGGCGGTGGGCTGGTGACGAGGCTGAGTCAGAGCCTTACACAGCTCCTCGACGCTGTGACCATCTACGATTATAGCGTGCCATCTGAAAACACACCCACACACTTCAGTCAGTCATAAACAACAAATGAAAACAAACAACTCGCATCAGCTAAACCAGGGGTGCCTAAACTTTTTGTCCTTGTTTTTAAAAGTGTGTTTTGTAACATTACACTACATTTTGTTACTGCAGTACTTTCACAAACATAAGAATGTATATCACCGTAGTCTGAAGAAAACCTTGTATCTCCAAAATGGTAACTTTACAGGAGAAGGAAAAAACCTACTTTACTTTTAATGTAAGTCAATGGAACCAGAGTTTTTTCCAAGTCATTTTGGGTCATTTCTTTTGGTCCGTTCATCCTGAATTTTACACACAATGTAACGGGTACCAGGTATTTTCAAATTATGTCAAAAACTGAAAAACATCAAAAATGGAGATATGAGGTTTTCTTTCGACAGCAGCGATGTGTTATGTATAGTATAAAAATATGTCTGTTCTCTCATTGGGTGAGGAGGTGGGGTTAGGTAAAGTTCTGGTGGGTCCTCATAGGCCAACTTTGGCCCACAGGTCACCACAGGCCGCTCTGATCTAAACATAACACAGTGTTCTAGACTCACGTTGCTCAGCAGGTTCTTTAAGCCTTTAAAAGGTCTCCTTCACACTCACAGATATATGTATATAAGGTAAACAGACACTGTGTAGCAGGTTGTGATGTTTGTTTGTAGCCCACCCGAACGCCTCACAGCGTCTCTGGTATTTCTCCACGTGGTGCTGCAGAGGCGCCGGCTCGCTCTGACCCAGCCGGTTGATGTCCAGGATGGCCACAAGGTTGTCCAGCTGATAGTAGGAGGCAAAGGCCATGGCCTCCCACACAGCGCCCTCCGACATCTCCCCATCACCCAGCAGACAGAACACACGGTAACTACACTCACAACACAGACAACACAGCACAGACAGCAAACTGAGGGATTTCTTATAACACAAATTATAATGTTTATAATACAGATAATATCCACAATATCTGTTCATATCATTGAATAACTTCCTATTGTTCCCCAAAAACGTGAAATACTCAATAAAACATCTACACTGGATATATAATTTATCTGTCCATCCATCCATCCACCCATCCATCCATCCATCCAGCCATCTGTCCATACATCCACCCATCCACCCATCCATCCATCCATCTATCCAGCCATCTGTCCATTAAGCTACCGTTCCATCTGTTCTATCTGCCTGTTCATCCTTCCATCCATCCATCCATCTGTCCATCAAGCTATCCTTCCATCTATTCTATCTGTCGGTTCATCCAACCATTCATCCATCCATCCATCCATCCCATCCCCATCTATCTATCTATCTATTTATCTCTAAGTGTGGACTGGTCAGTGGTCATTTGGGGATTATGCCACAGCATCTGCACTACACACACTCATCACCTCTGTGTGTGAGCTCTGAAGATGGTCAGTCTCGGCCAAACCCCAGAAAACTCCAGAACAAACAGCTGCAAAGTCCTACCTTCTACACTCACCGGCCACTTTATCAGAAACACCAACCATACAGGTGCACTTTGCAGGTGTACAGGTACAGACTACACCATGTCTATACTGCAGTTTATCAGCCCACCACTAAACCATTCATCATTGGTCAGTTTATGACCACAGGATCGCTGCTGTCCAGACATTATTTGGTATCCATTTTTATACGTCAGTATCACTGCTAGGTTGAGAGTGGACCACAGCCAAAACATCCAGACAAGAGCATCTCTGTGGTCAGAAACTGACCATTGAGGAAGGCCTAGCAGAGGCATCACTCAAACTGTGTGTAGAGTAAATGTGCTGCCTCTCTGAGGTGGACGGGGCTGCGGTCTGTTTGGGAGAGCGTGTGTGGGGGGTATAAGAGCGTGTATGTTGGATTTTGGAGCTGTAGTAAAAATAGCTGGGTGACTGCCTCTGGAGCTTTGATTATTAGAGCAGAAGAATCGGGAGAGGACAGCAAACGGAGAGACTACACACCCTTCACACACACACACACACACACACACACACACACACACACACTCTGAGAGCTCTGCTCCCCGCTGAGAGGATGTAAGGGGAGGTCTGTGAGTCAATGAATGCTACACGAAAACTGCAGACCCAAAAATGGCTAAGTAGCCCTATTAACATTTATATATTTTTATACAGAACAGAAAACAGTAGCAACTAATAGTTGGCTTTAATCAACCATTTAAAAGCCATTGTATTATGGTATAACAGCCAATTATTAACTGCAATAAAACCTTTTATTGTTCATTATAAAACCAGGTAACAACCAAGATACTCTTTCAACAAATATAATGCAGCCAATTAGCCATAAAACTATTAAAACGCATGTTAAGGCTTCTCAAATCACTGCTGAGTATAGGACAGAGGTCGGCAGCATGTGGCTCCGGTGCTGCATGCGGCTCTTTTACTGCCCTGTTGTGGCTCCACAGCAGAATTAGGTTTGTAGGTAAAAATAAAATAATCCTCCTTTACAGTAAAATAAAGCTCTGCTGATCGTTCAACACAGTTTAACAATAAATGGTCTTAAACTCTGGAGTTAATGTAGAACTGCTAATTCACCCTTTAACCCTGAAGATCAGCGCAGACTGCTGGTCACCATAGCAACGCAGACAACTATCTCACCTAGCTAGTAAGCTAACAAAATGGCAAAGAGAGAGATTTAAGATGAACATCGATATTTCGGCTGGTTTCCTGAGACTTTTAATCTGCAGCGAGAAACTGACAAAGTCGCTTCTCGTTCACCAGCTTCTTGATTGAATTTTCCCATTCCACCTTAAATGGTGCAGCACGTACATTCTCAGGCACCATTTAAGGTGGAACGGGAAAATTCAAACAAGAAGCTGGTGAACGAGAAGCGACTTCAGCCTATTCTTCCATTCTACTTTTGTGGAAAAGTTTCCTGCCGGAGATGTGAGAAAAGCGGCTATAGCTGAGCTAAAGCTTAAAGCAGAGCAAAGTAAGTCTGTGTTTTCGTTTATTTTCTATTTTTATTCTATACTAGAACATCAGCACATACTGAGACACATTTACAGCCAAGATGGTAAAATGGACATAAAATGTTGTGGCTCCCAGGGTGGTTTGATTTTTGTTGAAAGGACAAAATGGCTCCTCTTAACATTTGGGTTGAGACCCCATGCCTAGAGTATAGAAACATTTGCCTCTTCACAAACCAACAACATCATGTTTTACAACACCAATATTATGATTTTATGCTACAGTTTTGGCAAAAAAAGTCTGGTTTTTCAAAATGTCAATATAATTCAGTGGTTGAAATGTAAACAAAGTCTTTCTAAATGTTTTGGTGTGAAATGATTCATCGTAGAGAATCTTACTGATTCAGATTTCTTTACAGTGGTGATAGAAAATATCTGAAAGCATCTAAAAAATGTTTTCTTTGCAGAATATTTTCTCTCTCTCTGCCATTAATAAGAATAGGTTTTAAAGCCAAAACTTTCTCAAAGCTCTGTCTCAGACATCAGGCAGTGAATTCATAACCACTTCATGTAGTAACTTTCTGTGAGGGAGCTTTTAGAGGTGGACGTCTGGTTCCTATCACCACCACTGTGAACAGTTCTGACTCTGTAAGTTCCTCTAGAACAGAGCGTTTCACACCAAACCACTCTGAACAGCTCTGTTTACATCTTAACCACTTAATTATTCAGACGTTTTTAAAAATCAGTGCATTTCCACTGTAATTTAGCTGTGGATGTGTAGAGCTGAGGGATTCTTACCTGGCCTTGTCGAAGTATTTTCCAGTGTAGGCCATTCCACAGGCCACGCCCAAACCCTGGCCCAGTGAACCGGTGGCCACATCCACAAACTGTTGCTTCTGTTACACACACACACACACACACACACACACACACACACACACACACACACAGATGTGGCATGATTCACTGAAAAAAATGAACTGACTTGATTCAAATATGTTCATTGGTTCCACATGAATAAAATAAATTACATCACAATTTTGTCTCTCTTTGAGCTGCAGTTTCATGTGTATCAGGGTGTTTATTCTGAGTCACAATACAGTAATTGGAACTTTGAGGCCATAAATGAGCTCAAAAATAGAATAAACCACACAAAGCTGAGTGTTCATTTTATAGCAAACAGTAATTTTGATTCTTGTTGTTCAGTTTAAGTTGTAAAAATACATTAAAATGTTGTGTGGCCTATTTAAAATATACAAATATTTCATTTCGACACTAAATCTTGTCAGTGGTGTTACAGTAATATTACGTCATTAAAAAAACAAAACAGGAAAGTAATTTTGAAATATTCTTGATTGGAGAAAGACTAACTCTGATAAGTCCACAGTTAGTGACAGCTTCTTGTGTTACTCATGGAACATTAATTGATTGTCCATTAATTGGACATAAAATAATAACGTGTATGTAATATTTTCTACATATAATATAACATTAAAATGAAAGTGGCAGTGGAGTATGATTTAGAAAAGCTCAGCACGTCCTTTAACTGTAGATCTTTTACTGTGGATATAAACCAGTTTTGCCTTTCATTCTTTTTCAGGACACTGTCTTGGTACGGAGAGCTGAGGCTCATTCTGGGTCACATATATTACTCACAGGTGTGGGGTGGCCCTCCAGAGCAGAGTCCACCTGACACATGTTGACCAGGTCACTCTCCTTTAGAAAGCCAGTCTCCGTCCACATTGAATACAGAGCCGGGGCCGCATGACCCTAAAGGCAAAACCATAAAACAAGTACTTAACAAACTTAATGTAACCACAATACAGTATTTTACCAATCGTAACAAAACCATAATACAATATTTTACCAACTATATTATAACCATACTATATTATAACCATACTATATATAACCACACTACTTTACCAATCATAACATAACCATAATATAATATTTTACCAATCGTAACAAAACCATAATACAATACTTTACCAGTTATAATATAACCATAATACAATACTTTACTCATCATAATACAATCATAATACAGTACCTTACCCACTATAATATAACGATAATACAACCATTTACCAACTATAATATAACCATAATGCAATACTTTACTAATCATAATACAACCATAATACAATCTTTTACCAATCATATTATAATCATAATACAATACTTTATTAATCGTAATATAACCTTAATATAACCACAATAGAAGCATTTTCCAATAATATAACCATAATACCTCTACTTAAGATATAACCATAATGCAGTAATTTACCAACTATAATATAACCATATTACAGCCATTTACCAACCATCATATAATCATTATAAAATCACTTATCAACCATACAATAACGATAAGGCAATTATTAAACACAATTATATTATGGTTTTACCATAATATCATATATTTACCAATCACTTTCCAACTATTAAATGATCATAATACAAGCATTTAATCAACCATGTAACAGTTGACCAACCACAGCACAGCCTTTATCAACATTTGAAGCCAAATTTAAAGCAATGATCCAATTATTCCAGATTATGTTGATCACCAGAGGTGGGTATAACTATAGTTACGATTGCTTACATCTTCATATACTTACATAAGTATAATTTTACTGGATTTGTGCTTTACTGAGTATTTTCCAATGAACAAATGATAACACTTCTATTTCTACTGGAATATTACTGAGAAAATGAATCTACATTTTACTCCCTTTTACTCCTTAACTTAACTCAGGTCTATTATCACTTAGAATGATCACCTAATATGTTTATTACTGATATTTCAGTCAGGGGACGTGCAATCTCACCTTGGACAGGACGAAGCGGTCATTGTTGGGGTTTTTGGGGTCATCTGGCCTGTACTTCATGGTATGGAAGAATAGAACAGACATGATCTCGGCCACACTGCAGCATGATGTGGGGTGCCTGAGACAGAGCGAGGGGTACAAATCACTCTAAATACACTTATCATGTACAGGACTGTGAAAAAATCAGAGACCACCTGTCTATTCAATTTCCATTAATATTCACTAATTATTAAGTATGATTTATTAATTTTGTCAGAAAAACATTAACAATAAATTACACAAAAGCCTCCAACACTAAATATAATACAAAAGCTGTCAGTATTTGGTCCACTCTGTACTTGTTTCCGCAGATTTAGCTCTTCCATCCTTCCAATCTTAAAACCAACAAGTCCATCCATAACTGCTCCCCTTCAGAGAGACCCTGACATTCATACAATTACCCAAACTCAACTAAACTGCCTCACCATTGGTTAAAGCAGATATTTCTGATCTAAGATATAACATAATGCACTCGCATAAGGAAAAGGAAAGTCAATGTGAAAAAACAGGAGTTTTCCAAAAAATGAGAAAATGTGACTCCTAACAACCACCTGGAAGACCTGGTAGACCCCAAAACGGCCCCCATAAGATAAACAGAACTTAAAGCTTTCATCTCTGAGAGAGAGGAGAAAATCAAGCTGCTTCAGATCTGAAAACATCCACAGGTGTTTCTGTCCATCCTTCCACTGTGAGAAGACGACTCAGCGCTGTGGGTCTGAAAGGATGTGTAGCCGTCATGAAGAACCTCACTGAGAAAAGGAGACGGACACATCAGACAAAGAAGCTGAACAATGGACTGACCACCCCAGAGTCCAGACCTCAACACCACTGAATGTGTTTGATTACTTCAGAAAATTATCAACCAGCTTCTAAGACTGAACTTTGGAGGTGTGTCTGCAGATTCTTTGAGGAACTGAAAGTGAGTCTCCTGAAAAGAATGGAAGCTTCTGTATAATTTTCGGTTAAATATTTTCTGCTTTTTTCTGATACTGAAAAAGGCTGTTTTGACTGGAAAGGGAAGGGTAGTCTCTGACTTTTCCACAGTACTGTATATCATAGCCGTTGAACAAAACCACAAATCTTTTAATTAAGTTAATAGGCCAAAAATCTATACGATGCAATTATTCCATGTCATTGTGGGCCGTTTCTACTGATCCATTCATTGTGAATTATTCACACAACGTAAAGCACAGGTAGAGTTTTCTGAAATCAGAAAAAGGGCAGCTGCGCCCTGTTTACTGAACCAGCTGATTACGTAACACCCACAGTGCTCTAAGACATCGTCTCTATGACGGGCTCACTCTATCACTGACACAATCGCTCACGGCGATGAAACAGAAAGGAAAACGGTATGAGGACCACCCAACATGCACATCCAACAATACATCATACAATACATGTGAGGAACACACACAATGGAACACATTCTGATTATAGACTAAGACTGAGGTGTTTATATGCTCATATACATTCTCACTACAAGGAATCAGATCCACAATTATGTACATGCGTAGAGCACCACTAAGTGTAGACGTTACCATGACAACCAGCATCACGTGAGTCCAGTCAGAGTGAGATGAGCAGCAGTGAGCAGCGCTTGTGTTTTTAATTACTTTAAAATGATGTCAGACTCAGGAAAACGTCCTTCACATGTCCTTATTAAAGAAGGCCGAGAGGAAGACGTCGTGTTCTGAGACACATAAGCTGGACGTCTGTCCCACAGCCGCCTTTTAAAGACCAGAGCATAAACTTCGTCTCCTCCGCAGACCAGTTTCTGCTCCGCCATGTTGAACGGTATAAACTTTCACTATGACGCGACGAACATGATCAGAACAGACTTAAACTTTCTGATAGGGAATGTAATCAGATACAGGCGTTTACACGGATATTATTCTTCTATTTAACAGATTATTTACAGGATTAAATTGGATAGACACTGTATTCCAAATGGCCTCAATGGACTAGTCTATTCTGATTGAGGTGTTTACATGGATGTATTATATTCCCATTGAGCTATTAATCGGATTATTCACAGATTATTGGGCTGCATGTAAACATGGCTACTATTTCTACTTTGAGTTTCATGGACATCATCAGTACTAAAAAAACACTGACCAGCTGCATCTTTTGTCTCTTCCAATGAATCAGATGTCAGAAACAATAAATATTGTGGTATATTGTGTATCGTGAAAAGTCCTTTAAGTATCGTGATATTATGTTTTTACTACATCGCCCAGCTCTTACCCAGAATACAGACCAGTCCAGGTGGGTCAATTCAACTCTAACTTTCATTAGCTGTTCACTGGTGGTTAGCTTGCTAGCTCCATCATATCAGTTGCAAAAAAATGAACTATGCTAATGCTAGCTAAAATAGCAGCTCTTTGATACTCAACTCACTCCAGTAGTATCCAATAGTGATCACAGGTCCAGCTAGCAAGGAGACCAGTCCAGGGGTGCCTGGCCATATGGATGCTATTATGCTATAATTATGCTATAGGTAACCTGCAGAGGACAACCAAGCTAAGCTGGGTTTCCCAAAAGCATCTTAGCAGAAAAGAGATTCGATCTTAAAACTGAAATGCTTTTGGGAAACTGGCCCCTGGTCAGCTGTTGCTAGCATGAGGCTACCTGGATAACCAGTAGCACCAAAGCTAGCAGATATGATAAGTTGTTGCTATCAAGGAGCTACTCAGACAAACCAAGCTGGTCAGTCTATGCTAGCAAGGAGCTACAGATGATCAGCAGCACCAAAGCGATTAGGTAAGCTAGTGCTACCAAGGAGCTACTCAGGATGGTCAGTCTATGCAAGCAAGAGGCTAATCAGACAACCCATGCAAGGACACCACCTGCCCTCAACACCCATCACTGCTGCATAATTCTGTCTGTGGAATATCTCGACCACAAGGAGCATCCACAATGCTTTGTGCCACCTCTAGCATCCCTAATCCAGCCCCCTCTGATCACAGCATTAACACAATCATAGCTCTCAGATTTGTCCAAAATTGGCCACATATGAGCTCACAATATCTGCCAAAAGTAACTGTTCTATCTGCATATCGAACTACCCGAAACATTTCAGCGTATGAACTACAATCAGTGTATGAAATACAATCAAATCTGGCGCCTCTGCTCCTCTAACGTTTTTAGACCTCTCGTTCAACATCAGAATTTCTGCAAATTGTGCGAAAATTTTGAAACAATAAAACAAATAAACAGAGCTGTTAATTACATTTGGCCACGCCTCATATTTTTATGGTCTAGATAAAAATAAACTGTAATATGTATTATATATAAGGAACTGATCATAAATGGAGCACAAAGGCACCTTTATCACAAAATCAAAAATGAACTGTGATCTAATGAATTAAAAGAAGAAGAAACCTCTCATCTCTCCTCTTCACTCAAACAAAGAGGTGCCCTGCACACGGCACACAAAGCACACGGTGCCAAACCAAACACACAGTTTAGATTAAATGCAGTGAATCATTTAAACTGCAGGTTACATACAGTCCAAAGAGAAATCTGATTATGATTTATAAAACATGACCTGTTCATTTTATTTATGTTTTATTCATTTAGTGAGAAAAAAGAGCATGCATCACTCATAGATACACTTACTTACATATATATAATAAACATGGAACATTATAAGATATATATTATATATATTATTACTACTTGTAGGTAATGCATGTGGGGCATATAACTTTACAGAAGAAGAAATCCCTTCCTACCTTTTACTGTTAGTTAACGTAATATTTTTGTATGTTTTTATCTATTGGTCTATTCATCAAGAAATTTTGTGATATATATATATATACATATATATATATATATATATATATATATATATATATATATATATATATGTGCACACGTGCATGGGTGTATGTGTGAGTCCTACCCGCTGCCGGCGGCGGTGGTGGCCCTGATGGAGTTGATGCGGAGGCGGTGGGCGATGTTTCGGAGCGCCTGCACTGTGGCCTGGTCCGGTTTATGATAATCCTCCATAACTGCAGAACAATCAGCGACAACCGAGAGAGTGAGAGGACAAACAGGAGCTTCTCACCAAACCCACACTCACGCCTGAGTGACAAAAAAGAGAGAGAGAGAGACAGAGAGAGAGAGAGAAGGAGAGAGAGAGAGAGAGAGAGAGAGAGAGAGAGAGAGAGAGAGAGAGAGAGAGAGAGAGAAGAGAGAGAGAGAGAAAGAGAGAGAGAGAGGAGGAGGAGAAAAAGAGACAGATTTACACAGACACAGGTTGGTCAGTGGAGGTCAGGCGGTAACGTGTATTGGCTGTGACAAGGCAAGTGGGCGTGTGCCCAAGTGTGTGTGTGAGAGAGAGAGAGCAGTAGAAACTGCAGTAGCTATTTGGCTGTTGAGTCTATAGACAGTAGATAGTGAGAGCAGATAGTGTGTGTGTTTTCCTGTGTGAGTAGTTTGTGCATATGAATATTCATATCATCATCATCATCATCTTAAAACCGCTTGATCCAGATAGGGTCACGGTAGCAGTCGGGACAGCAGAGAATCCCAGACGACCCTCTCCCCTGCAACTTCCTCCAGCTCATTCCAGGGGATCCAGAGCCGCTCCCAGGCCAACTTGGAGATATAATTCCTCCAGTGGGTCCTTGGGGTCTCATCCTAGTCGGTCATGCCGGGTAAACCTCCACCGGGAGGTGGTTAGGGGGCATCCTGATCAGATGCCTGAACCACTTCAAATGGCTCCTCTCAATGTGGAGAAGTAGCGACTCTACTTTGAGCTATTCCCGGATGACCAAGCTCCTCATCCTATCAACTAGAGTGTAGCCGCCACCCAGCAAAGAAAGCTCATTTCTGCCGCTCGTGTCCGTGATCTCATTCTTTCAGTCATTATACAAAGCTCATGACCACAGGTGAGGGTTGGTATGTAAACCGACCAGTAAACAGAGACCAGTAAACACACTCCCAGAGGACCTCCCACAGTGTATCTTGGGGAACACGTTTGTAAGCCTTCTTCAGGTCCACACATCACACACAGACTGGGTTGGCAAACTCCCATGGCCCCTCAACAATCTGCATGAGGGTGAAAAGCTGGTCCATTGCTCCATGTCCGCACTGCTCCTCCTCAATCTGAGGTTCGACCATCGGTCAGAGTCTCCTTTCCAGCAACGTGGCATAAACTTTCTCATAATCTCTTAAAACATTCATACTTTCTTAAAAATAGGGATGTGTGCATCCCAGTCTGACAGTCCAAGAGTACTGTTCCCGAGGTCCATGCAACATTGCAGAGGAGTGTCAGCCATGACAGTGAGTATCCCTTACCCTGTGCAACTCCCAATTAGGAGAGGGAACAACCCCTATCAAGGAGTTTGGTTCCAGAGCCGACACTGTGGGTGAAGGTGAGCCCAACTATATCTAATTGGTACCTCTCAACCTCCCGCACAAGCTACAGCTCCTTCCCCCAGTTAGATTACATTCCATGCCAAGAACCAGTTTCCGCTGAACGGGTCACTGCACTGGTCCCCCATGCTGGACCTTGTGGGTGGTGGGCTCCTCAAAAGCAATCAAAAGTTAATTAATACAGGGAACCAAGTAAATTACGCAGCAGTTGGTGATCTTGTATGGATGATGAGCTGCTTGCTCATCTGTAAAAAAGGTTTAAAGGAGATTTTTTTCAGAAACCTTTTCCTTTGTGCTGCTGAGCATGCTCTTATTTTGTAAAACTCTGCCTTCCTGTTACAGTGAAACGACTTCTGGGTGCACTGAAAACTGTCAAGCATGCAGTGACCTCAGTTTGTGTGTATGTGTAAGTAGTGTGTGTGTGTGTGTGTGAGTAGTGTGTGTGTGTGTGTAAATAGTGTGTGTGTGTGTGTGTGAGTAGTGTGTGTGTGTGTAAGTCGTGTGTATGTGTGTAAGTAGTGTGTGTGTGTGTGTGTGAGTAGTGTGTGTGTGTAAGTAGTGTGTGTATGTGTAAGTAGTGTGTGTGTGTAGTGTGTGTGTGTGTGTGAGTGTGTGTGTGTGTAAGTAGTGTGTGTGTGTAAGTAGTGTGTGTGTGTGAGTAGTGTGTGTGTGTGAGTAGTGTGTGTATGTGTAAGTCGTGTGTGTGTGTGTGTGAGTCGTGTGTGTAAGTAGTGTGTGTGTGTGTAAGTAGTGTGCGTGTATGTGTAAGTGGTGTGTGTGTGTGAGTAGTGTGTGTGTGTGTGTAGTAGTGTGTGTGTATGTGTGAGTAGTGTGTGTGTGTGTATGTGTGAGTAGTGTGTGTGTATGTGTAAGTAGTGTGTGTGTGTGTGTAAGTAGTGTGTGTGTGTAAGTAGTGTGTGTATGTGTGAGTAGTGTGTGTGTATGTGTGAGTAGTGTGTGTGTATGTGTGAGTAGTGTGTGTGTGTGTGTGTGTATGTGTGAGTAGTGTGTGTGTATGTGTGAGTAGTGGGTGTGTGTGTGTGTATGTGTGAGTAGTGTGTGTGTGTGTGTATGTGTGAGTAGTGTGTGTGTATGTGTGAGTAGTGTGTGTGTATGTGTGAGTAGTGGGTGTGTATTTTTGAGTAGTCTGTGTGTGAGTAGTGTGTGTGTGTGTGTAAGTAGTGTGGGTGTGTGTGTGAGTAGTGTGTGTGTATGTGTGAGTAGTGTGTGTATGTGTGAGTAGTCTGTGTGTGTGTGTGTGTGTGTGTAAGTAGTGTGTGTGTGTGTAGTAGTGTGTGTGTGTAGTGTGTGTATGTGTGAGTAGTGTGTGTATGTGTGAGTAGTGTGGTGTGTAGTGTGGTGTGTGAGTAGTGTGTGTGTGTAGTAGTGTGTGTATGTGTGAGTAGTGTGTGTATGTGTGAGTAGTGTGAGTAGTGTGTGTGTGTATGTGTGAGTAGTGTGTGTGTGTGTGTAGTAGTGTGTGTGTGTGTGAGTAGTGTGTGTGTATGTGTGAGTAGTGTGTGTGTGTGTGTGTAAGTAGTGTGTGTGTGTACGTAGTGTGTGTATGTGTGAGTAGTGTGTGTATGTGTGAGTAGTGTGAGTAGTGTATGTGTGAGTATGTGTGAGTAGTGTGTGTGTGTGTGTGAGTAGTGTGTGTGTGTGTGAGTAGTGTGTGTGTATGTGTGAGTAGTGTGTGTGTGTGTGAGTAGTGTGTGTGTGTACATAGTGTGTGTGTATGTGTGAGTAGTGTGTGTGTGTGAGTAGTGTGTGTGTGTGTGAGTAGTGTGTGTGTGTGTGAGTAGTGTGTGTGTGTACGTAGTGTGTGTGTATGTGTGAGTAGTGTGTGTATGTGTGAGTAGTGTGAGTAGTGTGTGTGTGTGTGAGTAGTGTGTGTGTGTGTGAGTAGTGTGTGTATGTGTGAGTAGTGTGTGTGTGTGTGAGTAGTGTGTGTGTGTGTGAGTAGTGTGAGTAGTGTGTGTGTGTGTGAGTAGTGTGTGTGTGTGTGAGTAGTGTGTGTGTATGTGTGAGTAGTGTGTGTGTGTGTGAGTAGTGTGTGTGTGTGTGTGAGTAGTGTGTGTGTATGTGTGAGTAGTGTGTGTGTGTGTGTGTGAGTAGTGTGTGTGTGTACGTAGTGTGTGTATGTGTGAGTAGTGTGAGTAGTGTGTGTGTGTGTGAGTAGTGTGTGTGTATGTGTGAGTAGTGTGTGTGTGTGTGAGTAGTGTGTGTGTGTACGTAGTGTGTGTATGTGTGAGTAGTGTGAGTAGTGTGTGTATGTGTGAGTAGTGTGTGTGTGTGTGAGTAGTGTGTGTGTATGTGTGAGTAGTGTGTGTGTGTGTGTGAGTAGTGTGTGTGTGTACGTAGTGTGTGTATGTGTGAGTAGTGTGAGTAGTGTGTGTGTGTGTGAGTAGTGTGTGTATGTGTGAGTAGTGTGTGTTTGTGTGTAGTCTGTGTGCATAAGTAGTGTGTGTGTGTGAGTAGTGTGTGTATGTGTGTAGTCTGTGTGTATGTGTGTAGTCTGTGTGTGTGTGAGTAGTGTGTGCGGGTGAGTAGTGTGTGTATGTGTGAGTAGTGTGTGTATGTGTGTAGTCTGTGTGTATGTGTGTAGTCTGTGTGTATGTGTGAGTAGTGTGTGTGTGTGTGTAGTCTGTGTGTATGTGTGTAGTCTGTGTGTATGTGTGAGTAGTGTGTGTGTGTAGTCTGTGTGTATGTGTGAGTAGTGTATGTGTGTAGTCTGTGTGTGTGTGTGAGTAGTGTGTGCGGGTGAGTAGTGTGTGTATGTGTGAGTAGTGTGTGTGTGTGTGTAGTCTGTGTGTATGTGTGAGTAGTGTGTGTGTGTGTGTGTAGTCTGTGTGTATGTGTGAGTAGTGTGTGTGTGTGTGTAGTCTGTGTGTATGTGTGAGTAGTGTATGTGTGTAGTCTGTGTGTGTGTGTGAGTAGTGTGTGCGGGTGAGTAGTGTGTGTATGTGTGAGTAGTGTGTGTGTGTGTGTAGTCTGTGTGTATGTGTGAGTAGTGTGTGTGTGTGTGTAGTCTGTGTGTATGTGTGAGTAGTGTGTGTGTGTGTGTAGTCTGTGTGTATGTGTGAGTAGTGTGTGTGTGTGTAGTCTGTGTGTATGTGTGTAGTCTGTGTGTGTGTGTGTAGTCTGTGTGTATGTGTGTAGTCTGTGTGTATGTGTGTAGTCTGTGTGTATGTGTGAGTAGTGTGTGTGTGTGTGTAGTCTGTGTGTATGTGTGAGTAGTGTGTGTGTGTAGTCTGTGTGTATGTGTGAGTAGTGTGTGTGTGTGTGTAGTCTGTGTGTATGTGTGAGTAGTGTGTGCGGGTGAGTAGTGTGTGTATGTGTGAGTAGTGTGTGTGTGTGTGTAGTCTGTGTGTATGTGTGAGTAGTGTGTGTGTGTGTAGTCTGTGTGTATGTGTGTAGTCTGTGTGTGTGTGTGTAGTCTGTGTGTATGTGTGTAGTCTGTGTGTATGTGTGTAGTCTGTGTGTATGTGTGAGTAGTGTGTGTGTGTGTGTAGTCTGTGTGTATGTGTGAGTAGTGTGTGTGTGTAGTCTGTGTGTATGTGTGAGTAGTGTGTGTGTGTGTGTAGTCTGTGTGTATGTGTGAGTAGTGTGTGTGTGTAGTCTGTGTGTATGTGTGAGTAGTGTGTGTGTGTAGTCTGTGTGTATGTGTGAGTAGTGTATGTGTGTAGTCTGTGTGTATGTGTGAGTAGTGTGTATGTGTGAGTAGTGTGTGTGTGTGTGTAGTCTGTGTGTATGTGTGAGTAGTGTGTGTGTGTAGTGTGTGTGTGTGTGTAGTCTGTGTGTATGTGTGAGTAGTGTGTGTGTGTGTGTAGTCTGTGTGTATGTGTGTAGTCTGTGTATATGTGTAAATGCTTCATAGCTGTGTTTCAGTGTATTTCACCCTAAACTGCCCCCCATTAGGCTGGTTCGTTGTGGTGCTGCTCTGCCTCCACACGGCCGCACAGCTGCAGTTCAGTGTAGATCAGCTCTGTGTTCAGCTGTTCTGTTGATCTGCTCTACGTTTGACCAGTTGATTGGAATCTGTTTTTTCCAGCCAGCATTAAAACAAAGGTTCCTTGAATTTCTGCTGTGTTTTTGTAAATCTACAGTGGGGTCCACACTCGCGATAGAGGCGCGAGAGTAAACCCGAGAATCCTTTACTGAAATGATCAGCTGATCTGCTGCCAGAGCTCTGAAACAGCAGGACTGAGCAGGGGTCTGTGGGTCAGCTTGGCTCAGGAAGGTTAAACACAGGTTATCACAAATCACCCTTGATTACTGCATGGTGGCTCTGTGCCTCCCTCTGCTGGCTGACCGTGCTATCGCAGGTGGCCCAGGCCCGAGCTGGACCTTTGCAGAGTCACTAAACATGCGACTGACGAGTTTCTGGCTCAGTATTTGGCTTAAACAAATAAACATCACATACCTCATCACAAAGTTGACAGTTATCCAGCTCGGCATCTGACTCCATAAAGACTCTTCAAAAAACAACACATATATATACATACGTACATACACCATCTAAACCGCTTATCCTTCTGGGTCGCGGTGGGGTGCTGGAGCCTATCCCAGCTGTCATTGGGCGGAAGGCAGGATACACCCTGGACAGGTCGCCAGTCCATCGCAGGGCAGACAGACAGACATACACAGTCACACACACAGTCACACCTAGGGGCAATTCAGCATGTCCAATCAGCCTGACTGCATGTTTTTGGACTGTGGGAGGAAACCGGAGTACCCGGAGGAAACCCACGCAGACACGGGGAGAACAGGCAAACTCCACACAGAAATGACTGTGGTCACCCGGCTGGGAATCAAACCCAGGCCATTCTTGCTGAGGCAACAGCACTGCGCCACCATGCCAACCCTATATATATATATATATATGTATATATATATATATATATATATATATATATATATATATATATATATATATTTATAAAAATTTAAAGATATATAAAAAAGGAATGACATTCCACTCAGATATGACCTTTATTTTGTATACTGTAGATGTTATATTTTTAAAATGTGCCTCCAGTGTATATCAACTAACGCAATAAAGCAGAGAAATACAAAAAAGGAAAAAAACAAAATGCCAGCACTGAAGGAACACATACTGTCCTAACATTTTTGAAGTTTGTACAAGCTAGCCAACATTTTTTTCAGCTTGGAGCTTGTTTCATTAGTTTCCTTTAAGCACCATCAGTTTGTGAGATTTTCCAAAATGAAAGTCTCACTGACGACACATGACAGTCGCAAAATTGACACAGAAAGGTGCACAAAGGTGCAAAAAGGTCCACAGTTCGACATTGTTTCACCATTTTCCTCTAAACACTATTGTGGCGTTTCAGTTATGTCCAGCAGATGGTGAAATTTTCCATAATAAAAGTCTCATGAAGTCAGTGACTGGCAGTCGCAAAATTGACACAAAAAGGTGCACAAGCCCTGAAAATGGGAGAGCTTCAAGGCTGATGGTCCTAATTCTTTCTCTCAGGCTGATTTCATGAGTCCTCATTCTCAGCTAAGGGCAAAGTCTGACTTTCTGACCATCCGTCTGGCTTAGACAAACAGACGGTACAGGTAATGCATGTGATGTGAGTTTGTATGAAATGATTTGTTGCGTTTAGTTTGTTGTGAAAAGCAGTTGTTGGGCAAAAAAAACAAAAAAATAACCAAAAGAAAAGTTACTCTCTCTCCACACTGGACACAAAGTTCACACTTATTCATCTAGGCATTTAACCGAGCCTTCAGTTCAAGTCCCTATTAATTAAATAAATACACTTTAAAATGACAAAAAAGCTAAATATGACGTTCTTCTCAGATATGACATTTATTTTGTATTGTGTAGATGTTGTGGTTTTACTATAGAATAAGACCACTCTTATAAAACACGTATGAATGGTTTAAGATTAGTGTGTTAATGGCTATTAGTTTTACTATTGTTTATTAAATCAATACAGTCATAACAATTTATGGAAAAATACCAGATGTTTAAAATATCACAAGTGTCCAGTGTAGGGTTCTCCTTTAGCAGCTGTAGCCAGTCAGCAGCCTGTCTATGGTGTCCACTCTCTCACACACACACACACACACACACACACAGACACACACTAACAGCAGGCCATGTAGGAGGAGAACAGAGTGAAGGACACAGCACCTCCACACTTTTACTCCCCGCAGGTTCACCCAACACCACATGTGTAATATAAATATGTATGGGGTGAACAGAGTGAAGCACTGAAAATGGGTTATTTTATATGTTCTTCACAGAAAATGAGGAAAGGCCAAGAATCTGAGGCTGAAATAATAATAAATCGCTTTTATTTATTTTATTTATTTTTTCTTTTGGTAAACATTAGACAGACCTGAACACCACACAAGGGTTAAATAAGTACCAAAATACAAATAAGCGAAATGTATTTGTAAATGAATAGTACAGAAATAAAGTAACACAACGAGCCAAGGCAAAATCCAGTAGTGAGGAGCTCTGTCATCGTGAAACAGACTGGGTTGTGATTTTTTGCCAGATTCATCTTTGGAATATCCTAGAACCTCGTTATCTGTCACACTGAGGACCCATTTCTTGGAACCTGACAGTTGCATAGTTTTTTGGAGATGACTTAGGTTGATTCACAATATATACACATAATATAAACTCTTCCCTCCCCTTAATACTGATTATCTGTAGCTGTCAGTACGATGGGATGAATTTATCACGTGAGACGGTCATCCTGCGGCCAGTAGGAAGCGATCCCAAGACCTCATCACTCACAGATACACCAAGCTCCATCCCAGTAGCCAGTTGAGTGTCCTGAAACTCCAGCTTCCCTACAAAGTATTTGATCACTTCAGATTAAAACTGAAAGGTGTTAATTGCTGGAACTAATTGAATGGTATAATTTTTTACTCACCTACCTTTAATCTCCGCATCAGAGCTTTGGTGCATTAGCCACTACTGGTCATACATACCACATAAAGCAACGCATAAAGCAGCACAACAATGTGTGCAAATCTATTGAAATGGAAAAGAAGAGAAAGATGTAAGACATAAGAATTTAGAGATGCATTTACAGCTATATTCACTTCAGCTGGTTTCCAGTTGGAGGTGTTTCTAAATGCAAATGAGTCATTCTCCATTTGGAGTGGAAACCATGTCACAAAGGTTGGGCTTAGAAAGATGCTGAAAATGTGAGGCACAGCTCCAAAAGTCAATATGTACATTTACACAGTTGACCTAAGATTAAATAACACTTTTCCCTTATGATTCCTCTGAACCCACAACAAACATAACTGGCTTGTGCAGCTGTGGGACCGCAGGAGGTGTGGCGATGCAGAATGGCAATGCGTGGCGGCTCTTGGGAGGCGTCACACTCACAGTAGAGAGAGACTTACTGTGTAAATAACTTGTTTTTGTTGTACATGTGTTATTTGTGCTGGGCCGTGGTTAGAAGTGACCTGCCTGCTATCTCAGCTGTTTCAGCGGCGCTGAGCAGCGGTTCCATCCTTGCTGCATGTTCAATAAAAGAGCATTCACCTTTAAAGCACGCTTCCCAGGTCTTCACTGACACCACATTATGTACATTTTAATAATCCTGTCCTGAGGCTTGATTGCTATGTCATGGCCCACCCACTCTAAATCTGCGTCTCGCCTCAGCTGCCCCAGTCAAAATGTCACGGACAGCGACAAAATTTATTCCTGCCTGAAGTCCAGACTTTTGCACATTGCCTGGATTCTCTATACAAAAGACATTCTTGTGTCCAGTGGCGATGATAACGAGTGTATTGTTAATTGAGTGTAAAAAGTCACTGACCTCTGAACAGAAATGTGAGCACAGCTGATCTGCACCTTCACATGAGCTGTCACATGGTGGACACGGTGAACATGACGGCTGTGGCTGTTCAGAGACGGGCACTGGAATCCACTCCTCTTTGTTTTTGTCTTCGCTGTTCATGATGATGAGGTGACTGAAGGAGGCTGATGAAGTTTTTAAAAGATTCCGGTTGCGTCAAGCTTTTGAAATAAAAGAGAAAAAAGACAATTTTATTATCACTGTCATTTGTTGTCACCTAGTGGTCAGTGACAGGCCCATTTATGTTGCCATTGCAGAAATGCAGAAATTCCAAAAACGGCTCAGGAGACCAGAAGTTCCTCAACGACTACAAAGCTTTTACATCATAAAATGTTTCCCAAAGGCAGAAAAAATAAAAAGGTACCCATATGAAGATTTGGACACTATGATGGCGTTTTAGGGCCACTGTTAATAAAAATAGTACATTTACATTTACATTTACAGCCTTTAGCAGACGCTCTTATCCAGAGCGACTTACAAAAAGTGCTTTGTCTATCCAGAGAAAGAATCTTTGCTAGTTACCAATAGGTTAGAGAGAAAACCAGTCCTAAGCTCAGATACTGCTAGGATCTGAAAGTCATTGACACCTAGTGAAAAAGGAACACTTTAGTAGACTTTAGTAGACTTAGAGAATAAAGTTGTAACATTTCGAGAATAAAGTCACAGAATTACGACATTAAAGTGGAATTAATACCAGGAAAGGTTGCAATATTGTTGCCAAAGGCTTTGCGAAGTGAAGGCGGCACCTCCTCGTGTTAAATGAGGGGCGGTGAGTTGGTGGAGTTCTACTTTCATATCGATTCACCCATAAAGAAACACTCAGTCTCCCTGTCTCTCCTGCACATCAGCACCAGCCTGTTATTAGTGTAAGAACCGGCTGAAACGGCTGAGCAGGAAATTGTGTTTATCTAGAATAAAGAGCCAGACGGACTCGGAGGAAACTGTCTGTCTGTGTTGTTGAAGGAGAATCTCAGGCAGGGTCGTCTACACGGCTATCGGGGGGCTACATCTCCCCCCATTCAAAGAGGGCATGAAGTTTCACAGACAGTGAGAATGATGATCAAAATGATCCACAGAGAGACAGGAGTGAGTGGAGCTCCGGCGCCAGTAAAGCAACCGAGACCCCAACGCGTTATGGCAGCCCCCTACAGTTAGCCCCCCTACAGTTAGCCCCCTTTATCCTCCAAATATTAGGACTTTTTTCTCGAAGTCTAGTATTTTTATTTGTATTAACAGTGGCCCTAAAACGCCGTCATTGGACACACATTAATTCTAATGACACATATTATTAATGAGATCTAATTAATCCAATGTGCTGCTAGATTAAACATAAACACTCCTGTCTTTCTCTTTTTAATCTCTCCTTCAAATAACTAATTTAGCAGTTCTTGTCAGCTGCATGAAAGCAGATCTTACCTGAAGTTCTCACCTTTGTGTCGTTCAGAAAAAGAACTTCCTACTTTTAGCTGAATGTCTGGAGTTAAATATGCAAATCTGGACTTCTCCCACTTTAACACAGGACCTCTGGGAGGAGTTCAGTGCTCTCTGCTGTAATGCAGACTCTATCAGACAGTTATCAGACCCTGTATTCAGTTTAGTGTGTTGTTTGGTGAGTTCTTTGGAAAGATTCACAGAATTATGAGACATTTCTGTATTCAGGCTGACAGATCAGTTTCCCAGGCTATATCATCAGCATCAGACTATATTCAAGATAAATTACAGGAACTTCAAATTACAGTAGAACTGAAGGGATTTGTAAGGATGGTGAACAGTTTGGAGAGCATAACAAGTCTCTACTGCTCTATGAACTATTTAGTCCAAGAGTTCTACACTGTTAGTAATGAAGGTTCTGTTCAGGTACATTTTTCATTCATCAAGGTACAAACAATGTAAATGCTTTCTTGGGAAATTCTTTGCTACCTGAAATGAATGAAAGTGAAAGTAGAGCTTCTCATGCCAGAGCAGCTCACTTCCGGTGGCGTGCTTTGGCAGCCAAAAGCCCGGGGGCACGGGAGTGATGCACATCTGTGGTGAGCTAAAGTAGGCTAGGGGAAACTGTTAGTAATAAAGGTTCTGTGCTGGAACATTTTTCCTTCATCAAGGTACAAACTGTGTAAATGTTCCCCTTAAAGGTACAACAGTGGTTTTAAGGTCTGATTGTGAACCTTAAATAAGTTTTTCCAGGTGAAAAGTTCGTATTTGTACCTTTTCATAACCGAATGTTTTAAACAGAACAGTAAAATAAAAGCCTGGAGATGAGACGGGGTGTGTGGAGTCAGTACAGCTTAGAACATATCATTTCAGTGGATTATGGTTCAGTTATGTTCCCTGACTAAAGGTACTGAGATGTACCCTTGAGGGTCCCACCCCAGAGACAAGAGTGACCGTTTAGCACCTATTTTTCTGACAGTGTACAGTCCCACCTCACTAATCCTCACTCATCCTCATATCTTGTTAAAAATGACAGCTATGAAAACTATGAACTGGCGCCTGGCCTGGGTCTCCGGGGCTGTAGGCCCAAATATTTCTTATCTAGCCCTGATCCCACTTCTCAGAAGAGAGAGACTGGACAGAGTGAAAGGAAGAGGAAGAGAAAGAGAAAGGAAGAGAGAGAGAAAGAGAGAGCATGATGAGACAGCAAGGGAGAAAATGCACAAGTGTCTGGAATTTCTGTTCTGTTTTCTTAGAAAAGTTTTACCACTTCAAGTTCATTGAACACCAAACAGTAAATGTGTGTTACATTCTGTTAAATCATTATTTGAGGTTAATAACATCCAAATTTTAAAGCCACAGAGTTTCTTACTGTATTGAATCCGAATCATTTTTACACCGTACATAAAAAAAAAACCACTCATTTGAAATCCAGCCCACCATAGGCTGATGTTACAGGCTACGTGAAAAAAAATGTTTACCCAATATTTTGTAGTGTCTGCTTTGCTTTAGCATGATTGTTTATATTTAAAATATTGTTTCTTTTTGGTTTTAGGCAAGAGGAGTTTTACTCAGTGATGATTTAGCTTTTAAAATATATAAAAACTACAAATGTAATGTTTCTCTGTTAGCAGAGAGGAGGCGTATACAAGACATCTCCCGAAACAATCCTACACTGACCTGGGCTGAGTCTCGGATCTTTACGTGCCCAGACAACAGTCCTGCTGATCCTGCTGACAGTATTTTTGCTAGACATCCTCTTTATCATCATCATTATCTAAGCCGCTTATCCTCCTGGGTCACAGGGGATGCCGGAGCCTATCCCAGTATTCAGAGGGTAGAAGGCAGGAAACACCCTGGAGACAGACACACACATTCACACTCACACCCAGGGGCAACTGTAGTATCTCCAATTGGTCTTTGGACTGTTGGGGGGGGGGCCCATTCAGACATGGGGAGAACATGCAGACTACACACAGAGGGGACCCTGGCCGCCCACCCGGGGACTGGAACCCAGGTGCTTCTTGCTGTGAGGCTTACTTATCTTCATTTAATTTATATAGTGACTTTCTCATGCTCAAGGATTACAGCCGGCCCAGGCAGCCACGTAGCTGTGATGTAGCAATGCTTAGGCAGCCGGCCAGAGAGGCCTCGTAGCTGCAGTCTAGTGCTGCTTATGCAGTCGAATGCTACTGTCCACGCAGCCCCACAGCTGCAGTGCAGCAACAACCAAGCAGCCAGCCCAGGCTGTGATGTCACGTCGATCAGCTCCCCAGTCCAGAGAGCCTCGTAGCTGCGATACAGCATCACTCAAGCGGCCGGTCCAGGCTGCATCATAGCTGTGATGTAGCGTCACTGAAACAGCCAGCCCAAAAATCCTCTGAGCCACAGCTGGAAAATCACTCTCAGCCACTGTCTCGGTGGCTATGATGGCAAACTCCTCAGCCAGCAGGGAAACATCAAAACATACACACAAACAACACAAAACAAACGAAAAAAACATGTAAAGCAGCAGCCATATTAAATACGTTTTGTAAAGCAGCAGCCATATTGAGCCAGCGCACTCACAGCGGAGCAGGAACAGGGTGCTCTGTATTGAGTGTTTATTAGACACACACAATCGTGAGAGTGAGTGTAAATAATGGTTTATGCCACAGGTGGGTACAGTAGTCTAAACCTATACTCAAGTAAAAGTATTAACACTTGAATAAAATAATCACTCAAGTAAAAGTGAAAGTATCTTCCCGAAAAACAAAGTACAAAAGTTTTAAGTCAAAATGCGACTTAAGAACTGAGTGACTTATAGAACTGCAGGGCAAATGCAGCATCTTTCAGCACAGGAATGAGCTTTTCTACACGGTGTTGTTCTTCTTTGGGATTCTTTTGGTCTAAAATAAAGTGCTGAAGCTCCAAAGGAAGAGGTGAGACCAATCACAGAAGAGATGTTTTCACCAACAAGACAGAATGAAATTAAACACAAAAAGGAATGAGTAACTAAATACCAACAGCTGAAATAGTTGTCTAAATGTAAATAATTACTACGCCTCTCTGGTTTGGGCTAGACCTGCATGCATTAGAATTAAATTTTTTTTTTTGGGCACACGCCAAGAACAGTTTTTTGAACCAACCAGGTAGTTTTTGTTAGTAAAAGCACGGACAGGAATTTTCTTTATGTATTTGTACCTCCCACAATATGCGCTGGCTCACCACTGTTGCTTTCTTGGGAAATTCTTTGCTACCTGAAATGAATGAAAGTGAAAGTAGAGCTTCTCATGCCAGAGCAGCTCACTTCCGGTGGCGTGCTTTGGCAGCCAAAAGCCCGGGGGCACGGGAGTGGTGCACATCTGTGGTGAGCTAAAGTAGGCTAGGGGAAACTGTTAGTAATAAAGGTTCTGTGCCGGAACATTTTTCCTTCATCAAGGTACAAACAATGTAAATGTTCCCTCAAAGGTACAACAGTGGTTTTAAGGTCTGATTGTGAACCTTAAATAAGTTTTTCCAGGTGAAAAGTTTGTATTTGTACCTTTTCATAACCAAATGTTTTAAAACAGAACAGTAAAATAAAAGCCTGGAGACGAGACGGGGTGTGTGGAGTCAGTACAGCTTAGAACATATCATTTCAGTGGATTATGGTTCAGTTATGTTCCCTGACTAAAGGTACTGAGATGTACCCTTGAGGGTCCCACCCCAGAGACAAGAGGGGTCCTGCCCCAGTCACAGTTTAGTACCTTTATTTCTGAGAGTGTGGGATGCCGGTTTCATATCCAGTAGGGTTTCGATTTGCTAACCATTCACATTAATGAGGAGCCTGATCTCAAAATAAAAAAGACCAAAAATGTGAAGTAACGAGTTTGGTTTAAAATTGCAAGTAAAAGTAAAAAGTATTTCCAAATTCCTCAAGTACAGATACTGAAAAATCGTACTTAAGTATGGTAACTACATTACTGCCCTTCAGCCGGGATGTTCTCATAAGTCTGTCACAGCTTAAAGTGGTGTATTATGAAGAAATGACACGAGCTGTCTGCTTTTATTCAGAGATAAAGGGAAGTGACCAGTGCGTTCTCGCTGCCCTGTAGTAGAAAATGAGAATGTGAGCACCACTTCAGTAGAATCTAAGGGTAGATGCACCTGTGGAACAGAGGAGAGTGGGGTGACCTAATCCAAAGGATTACTACATTAATAGAACGTAATATGATTACTTTCAGTTATGATTGGATTACTTTGCCTTTGCCAAGTTGTATAATTAAATAAAGAAGAGAGAATTTAAACAAGACTTTTCCTAACGGAAATCGCTGTTGACCAGTGTTTGTTTTGTTTTGAACATCTTTTTGCTCGTTTACACTGGTGACCAGCACATGCTGGCTTTTGTTGGTGATGCTGGTGTCCCACGAAAACATCTTCGAAATCCAACAAACGCTGGTCAACCAGACAAGACAATGGTGCAGAACCTGCTTCACCAGCCCAGACCACCTTGCCGACAACTAAACAAGCGTTCCTACACTCTTAAAAAGGATGAACACTCAAAGAACCACTTGAGTGCATGTTTTGAATTGTTCTTTGTATCATGAAATGGTGAATATGGTCCTATATAGTAAGGGTTCTCTATAGCACAAAAAAGGGTTCTTCTATTGTTACAAGCTTCACATTGTAACAATAGCAAAACCCTTTTTGGTGCTGTAGCGAACGGTCATCTTTTCTAAAGAACCCTTGAAGAACCATCCTTTTTAAGAGTGTAGGAAGTATTCAGTGATGTCATTTAAACTTGATCTATTGTTGCCTGTTTTGCTTTGTCTCCGTGTTTCTGTTTCTTCAAGGCTGAAGTTTTCTGGTTTGTTCGACGGCCTTATGATATTTGTCCACGCACTTCAAAAGAGTGCAGGTTTCTGGCTACAGAAAAAGAAAAAGAGAAAGAATAACTTTTTGGCTTGAATCTGAGTTTGTTGTGCTGGTCTGTCACGTTATAGTCTCTCGACTGAAGACTGCGGTTATTTTCTCCCCACAGTGTGGAGGTTTAACAACCAGCAAGACAACGGTGGTCAACCTGCTGTCCCAGCAAAGACCATGATGGTCAACCAGCCTTCCTAGCAAAGACCATGCTGTTTCACCAACAGGGTTTTGCTGGTAAACCGACATTGCCACCAGCATTACCAGCTAAACCAGCTCCAGACCAGCAGTAAGCAGCATAAGCCACCATAGATGCTCCCCAAGCTCTTGGAAATGCACAGATTTCATGAGTGATTCTAAAAGGGAAATGGAAAAGTTTAGAGTTTAAATTCTAAAAGCTCTGAGAGGAAAACAGGGAAACACATAATCATTGTAGATTGATTCATTTTCAATTGAGTTCAACAACTATGCAAATGCATTAGAGCTGAAATCAATACTGCTCTCTGGGTGTCTTATCTGATAAAAACCTGTTGCTTAGCCAGACGATCATTCTGGTAGAAAACGTTTTTTTCTTTTGAGACCAATCAACAATAATTTTTAAACAGAGGCCATTCGTTGTTCATGATTTGTAATTTGTAGACGCTCCCTAATCTCTCAGCGGCTTCAGCCATCCAGACTGAAAAGGCTTTCATATCACTGAGAACCAAGGAAGAGCTGATTGTCTTTGTTACTAATAAGGATCGTTTACCCACAGACCGCCCTCATCACTCGAACAGAGGACAATGAAAGACATCATACTGAGCCATCAGCATCACCTCTTAAGACACGTCGGAAGACACACTGATGATAATAAAGCAAGTTGAGGCATGTCTTAAGAAATGAAGACAGGATTTTAAGGCACGTCACGGTCTTGGTCATATTAATCTCCCAAGATATCTGACGATGTAGAATGCATGTTGTTTTTTAATAGTGTTGCCGCACAATTTTAAAAATTAAATTCATTGCTTTCAAAACTTTTTAGAGTAATTAACCCTTAATGAAAACAGACCATTACTAATTTTTACAGTTGGCATTTTACAGTCATTTCATTGTTCAATGAAGTTTTTATCTGTCACTTTATCAACTTTCATTGTCATAATAAAGTAGAAAATACACATATATTACAGTAATTAAACCTTAAGAAAAATTATTTTTATATTTAGTTTTTATACTTAGTTTTTGTTACTTTGTTAATCTTCATTTTATAATTTATGGCTGTAATACTACAGCAACAACTGCCTAATTAAAAAAAAAAACACTTTCAGTAAAAGTATTTTTATCTAAGTTGACTGGCAAAACTGTGATAATATTAACAGTGATAATAAAATAGATAAAAATGGTATTAAAAAAGCATCAGACTCGACAGTATAGCCCAATAATACAGTTATTAGTGTTATTATAACATCATATATAGATAATGATCATTTACCCACATTAATAGACTCATCATTCAAAAACTGCGGGCGCTGGAAATCAAGCTGCTCACCAGGCTCTTTTCACATTTCAAGACTGATGGTGTTAGTATTCAAATCTGTCTAGTTAACAGGTGTGATTTACAGGCTTTCACCTGTAAAATGTCCTGTCACAACAAACGAGTACAGAGGAGTTTACTTACAGGTCGGTCAGCTGCTGTAGAATCAGGCTGTGTGTGAATCCAGGATAAACGGTGGGTTTAAATCTGTTGGGGAAAGTTCTGAACCGCTGCAGGTCTCACTACTGTTACCATACAAGAAAGACTTACTGAAACGTCCATAGACTGACCGACTGAAACTGCTCAAACTGCTGTAGGGAGTACTTGTCTGAGGAGTGGTGTGTGTGTGTTGGGGTGGGGGGGGGTGGGGGGTGGGGGGGGGGTTGGGTGTTTATTTCCTGAGGGCGGTCTTTCCTGGCAGCATGACTTGCTCTTGTTTAGTGTTTAACCGCAGAGCCCCACTCTCAGACATGGCGGTGTAGAGGCATACTAATCTCTGTAAGTTACACTTTATTACATAAGATTTAATTCTGCTTCCACAGAAAACGGGAATCATTTGTCCCGCTCGCGCAGTTCCGCCAAGGGGAACTGACATCCGATATCTGGCACAGTCTAGTCATGGTCATCAGGCTCACTGTGAAGTGACCTTTATAAAACGCCAATTATTCCCAGTGAACACAAAGCAAGAATTAAACCACAGAGCGGTCATTTTTGTTGTTTTCCTGGGCAGCTGTGGCCGTCACTCTGAAGCTACGCCACCTCTGTATCTGCATGTTGCAGCTCTTCATTCATTTGAACTGTTTTACTGTTATCATTTTATATTGTTTATATACATGATTTAGTGATAGTTCTACTTTATTTAGGCTGTCCATTAACTCACGGGATTTCTCTCCATGCATGCTTTGTCCCGCTCCGGCCTGCGGTGGGCTGGTTACCCGCCCACTCCCACACGCAACAGCGAAAATTAGTCCCGCACCGCAAGATATTGAAGTGCAGATCTGACATCAGTTAATCTAGAGATGTTTTTGTAAGTATTTTATTTTACTTTATTTTCATTGTCAGATTTGAGGTCTGCAGTGATTTCCTGAAGATTTCTGAATCAGGCGTTCAACTCTGGATTTCCACACCACCAGATTCTACAGCAGGAGACTGTTCTGATCTGATCTGGCAGTGCAATCTTTATTCTTGTAAAATTTCACAGTTTAACTACAAATCAAACCTTTGATAACCTTAACCTGGCAGGTTTGAATGCTGAAGTGAAAAGAGAGTCTTATGAGGGGTGAAATTAATTTTGTTTGATTTCGTTCTTCATTAGCTTTTATTATTTAAACTCTCCCTCGCTTTCTCCTTGATCGATAACCTCCATCTGGTCAGTAATTTTGAGGTACTGTGCATCACCACCTACAATTACAAACTTAAAACACATTAGCAAAGACAGTCAATCTGGCCGTTTCAGATCTCTTCAATCAAAAACATTTAACAATATGATCAGTCTGCAAACGCAAACATGGGTACAAAATGTATGTAAACACACCTTTGAGAGGTGAGGCACGGTTCCTTGGGGATGCCTATAAAACAACAAGCTGATATAAAAAATCTCAAAACAAAGCACAGCTGCATAAAATGTAAATGATGCTATGCATTGTTAGAAATGAACCTCTTAGCTCAGTACCACAGTTTTGCTTTTTGACACAATCACTAGTTAATGAATGAATATCTGAATCAGGTACAGTGGATATAAAAAGTCTACACACCCCTGTTAAAATGCCAGGTTTTTGTCATGTAAAAAAATCAGACCAGGGTGAATCATTTCAGATTTATTTCCACCTTTAATGATCTGTACAATTCCATTGAAAAGCAAACTGAAATCATTTAGAGGGGAAAAATAAAATAACAGAACTAAAATAATGTGGTTGCATAAATATGCACACCCTTAAACTAATACTTCGTTGAGGCACACTTTGACTTTATGACAGGGCTCAGTCTTTTTGGGTAGGAGTCTATCAGCATGGCACATTGTGACTTGGCGATCTTTGCCCACTCTTCCTTGGAGAAGCGCTCCAAATCTGTCCGACAGCGAGGGCATCTCCTGTATACAGCCCTCTTCAGGTCTACTTACAGATTTCCAATGGGAGTCAGGTCTGGGCTCCGGCTGGGCCATTTCAAAACTTTGGTCTTCTTCTGGCGAAGCCATTCTTCTCTTCTCATTCTCCATTGTTTTGCTGAAAGGTGAAATCCGTCTTCATCCTTAGCTTTTTAGCAGAGGTCTGAAGGTTTTGTGCCAAATTGACTGATATCTGGAACTGTTCATAATTCCCTCCACCTTGACTAAAGCCCCAGTTCCAGCTGCAGAAAAACAGCCCCAAAGCGTAAGGCAGCCTCCACCATGCTTCACTGTGGGTTTGGTGTTCTTTTGGTGATGCACAGTGTTGGCTTTACGCCAAATATGCCTTTTGGAATTATGGCCATCAGACCATAACACATTTTCCCACATACTTTTGGCAGACTTGATGTAGGATTTGGCAAAACATAGCCAGGCTTGGATGTTTTTCTTTGTTAGAAAAGGCTTTCGTCTCGCCACCCGACCCCACAGCCCAGACATATGAAGAATACGGGAGATTGGTGTCACATGCACTGCACAACCAGTACTTGCCAGAAAGTCCTGCAGCTCCTTTAATGATGCTGAAGGCCTCTTGGCAGCTTCCCAGACCAATTTTCATTGTGTCTTTCCATCAATTTTTGACGGGTGTCCAGTTCATGGTAAAGTCACTGTTGTGCCAAATTTAATCCACTTCTTGATGTCCGTCTTCACTGAGTTCCATGGTGGATCTAATGCCTTGGAAGTTTTTTTGTACCCTTCTCCTGACTGATACCTTTCAACAATCAGATCCCTTTGATGTGTTGCAAGCTCTTTATGGACCACGGCTTTTGCTGTAAAATGCAACTAAGAAAAGATGAGGAAAATCCTACTAGAACAGCTGAACTTTATATGGGGTTAATCAGAACCACTTTAAATGATGGCAGCTGTGTACTGACTACTATTTAACACGAGTTTAAATGTGATTGGCTAATTTTGAACACAACTACATCCCCAATTATAAGAGGGTGTTCACACTTACGCAACCACATTATTTTAGTTTTGTTATTTCCTCCTTTAAATGATTTCAGTTTGTTTTTCAGTGGAATTCTACAAATTATGGGTCACATTGAAGGTGGAAATAAAAATATGATTTTTTTACAAGATGAAAAACTGGCATTTTAACAGGGGTGTGTAGACTTTTTATACCCACTGTATATGTGTAACATCAAGGAACAGACTTGAAAGTGGATCCAAGCGTGTGCTGACCTTCCTACAGCCAGAGAGTCATACAAACAGTCTGAGGCGACTAAAACAAAGACAAAATCCAAAAATAAAAATAAAAAAACTGTAGAGTATTATGAAAAAAACATGAAAAACACCACAACAATAAGTAACAAGGCTTAAAAGTTCAAGGTATGATCTGGCAAGACTTCACAAAGACCTTAGCCAAAATGCAAGCTATGAGACAGTAATGAGAAAACAAGCTTCAGGTGATGGTCAGCCGTTAAAACTCAGTAGAGAGTGACCTCTGCAGGGAAGGATGGGAATCTCAAGCTAAGAACATGACAATATGATTAAACAAATCTGAAACAGGAGAACCTGCTTTACATTCTGTCACCTGCTAAAAAGATTATTAACCCACAATGTGTCAAAAAGCATCACTGCAGTTTTGTACTTGTTCTCAAGCCCAGAAACAGGTCTGGTATTCAGAATGTCTAAAATTTTAACAGAAAACTGTGATGATTTTGTGAAGCTTTGCAAGTTAAGGAAATAAGATACACCTATAAATCAAATAATGTACTAATTTTATTGAAATAATTTGTAGTTTATTTCTTAGATCTTTGACAGGGATAAATAACACAAAAGTGCTGATGCATGAAATTCTTCTATTCTGGTCTAATTGGACCTCAGTGCTGCCTTTGATACCGTTGATTACAAGGTTCTAATTCACTATCCTGGATGCTGGGTCGGCCTCTCAGGCACAGTTTTAGAATGGTTTAAATCATATTTAGTTAATAGGCAGTTCATAGTTTCACTTGAAAATCATGCATCAAAAAATATAGCACTTCTTGTGGAGTCCCACAAGGTTCAGTTTTAAGGCCTTTGCTTTTCTCTTTTGTACATCTCTTTGCCCTCCAGGATTTTCTCCAGTCTTTAGAAAACACGATATCATTTTTCATGGCTATGCTGACGACACACAATTATATATTTCGATTCCTTCTGATAATCAAGGCTCTGTAGACAGACTAACCAGCTGTATGTCAGATATTTCTCAGTGGATGTCACAACATTTCCTACAGGGAAGAGAAAGCTGCTATATGAGAAACTTGGTTCTGTTTTATGAGAAAGCTACTTTCTGAGAAACTTGGTTCTTCAGCTTCCTATACCAAACCTGAAGTAGGAAACCTGGTGTGATTTTAGACTCTGAGCTCTGATTTATCCCTCATGTAAACACGGTCACTAAAGTAGCTTTTTTCTATAATTTGAGAAATATCGCTAAAGTTCGGCCTTTTCTATCTCTGAGTGACGCAGAGAAACTCATTCATGCATTTGTTACAGCAGAGTTGATCACTGTAATGATCTTCTTACTGGACTTCCTAAGAAAACAATACATCCTTTACAACTCGTACAAAATGCATCAGAATGGATCCTAACAAAAACAAAACAGAGCTGTACTGGCTAATCAGGATAAAAGTTACAATCTCCTGATGAAATTTGAGCCGCCACCAGGACACTGTAAAAGATTACTGTAAATTAACAGCCCGATTTCAACAGTGTTATCCTGTTACACACACAAAAAACGTCTCTTTACTGTAAAACAAATTGTGGCTGTATACTAACACCCTTTTTATGGTAGAATCATATTATCCTTAAAAGCTGCTATTTCCTATAAAACCAATGCATTGCAGGAGTTGCATGACATGAATCTAGCATGGCACTAGGTGGTGGCAATTCCTTGTGATTTTCATCCATCTTCATGTTTTTTATGCCATTTCTGTTGGCTTGTCAGTTTATACAAAGCTCATGTGGGACTAATTTATGTTATGCATACGAATATTCCCCCCCCCTATTTTCTTAATTTTTATTGTGTTTTATTTAGTTCTTGTTTTCACTGTGCATTGTAATCCTCATTATAAATAATTGCAGTATACGTTGTTGGGGAACACACATCAGGAATGTACTGCTCACAGGCATTTAGGCAACTAGTGCAGTGAGAGGGTCCTGTACAATCAAGTGCATTGTAAGAGCCATGTGTACAGCCAT